CTGCGATAGCGGGCCGGAAAGTCAAATAGTGTTGTTGCTCTGGTGTCGGGCTTGACGTTGGCTAGTCGGCCTTAGCCAGGAACCAGCGGTCGCTTGGGCGCGGGCCACGTTCTGCTTCAAGCACATGAGGCGCGAGAGGATCGGGGTTTTTTCAGGGGGAGGCGAACGGGCAGCTGACCAGAGTTTCAGACGGGGTTGCAGACCCTGTTGGTATGGATAGCTGGAGGTAGTGAGTTGCAGGGTATCGTCTCGCTCCCATCGTCTGCATGCACGCATCGAGGTAGTCGATTGTGTTGTTGTGGGTGCCCGTTTGCCCCTGCCTCGTTTGACGTCCCACCTTGGTGCAGCTCGCAGCCTCCACGCCCGGCCCACTCTTCCACGACGGACTGAAACACCCGTGAATCTGTAGACAAGACTACTCCACACACGCGCCCCTTCGTCCCTCCAGCCCAAGAACAAAGTCCCAAGTCACTCAAGTCACCACTAATCACAAGACTCCCAACCTGACAAGTAACGTGAGCCGTCAGTCGGGAATGTCGCAGCTTGCCCATTGTCCACTCACCGTCTGAGCTCTCCCCCGCGGCCCCCTCTCGACCATTCACCAACTCGCAGCTGCCATCGCCCTCTCCGGCCACCGAGACACCGCCTAGTTTCCTAACCACCAAACCCGCGCCCATCTCTTCTCGCTGGACGGCCCCGACCGCTGCAATTCCGCAGTGCCTGCCTGTCGCGACCGCGCGCACAAACAAAGTCACCGCCTCCTGCCCGTCGCCCTCTTCGCGACACCTGACCCCCAAACATGGCAGTCTCCATGCTGCACGCTCCCTCGCGGGCTTCGACGTCGTCCTCGTCCTCTTTTGTCCCCGTATCGCGCCAGAACACAATGTCGTCCCACGATGGCTCGCGCTCGGTGCGCCAGTCGAAGCGCTACTCCGTTACCGCCCTGTATCTGTCCATGTCTGCCAAGGACAAGGAGCTCGAGATTGAGGATGACCTGGCTAGAGGTATGCGACGACGCGTGTGTAATGCGCCTAGTAGGCTAATTGTTGGCAGCTCAGAAGATACTCCGCGAACTCAAGGCCAAGATCTCATCGCAGTCCAAGAAGAACTTCGTCCTGGAAAAGGATGTGCGCTATCTCGACTCGCGGATAGCCCTGCTGATTCAGAACCGCATGGCTTTGGAGGAGGTGCGTTGACCAGTCTTATCTACCACGCTGTACTGACCATTGCAGCAAAATGAAGTCGCCGACCACCTTGCAGACGGCCTCGAACTCCAGGAAGGCTTCTTTCCCAACGACGAGAAGACGCAGAAATACGGCAACCTGCTGTTCCTCCTCCAGTCCGAACCACGTCACATTGCCCATCTTTGCCGACTCGTCTCCATGGCTGAGATTGATGCCTTGCTACAAACTGTCATGTTCACAATCTACGGAAACCAATACGAGAGTCGCGAAGAACACTTGCTCTTGACCATGTTCCAGGTATGCTGTCATCTCAATGCCCAAGAATTATGCTAACCCCACTACAGTCAGTACTTACGTATCAATTCGACAGTACCCCAGACTACAGCTCGCTTCTGCGCGCCAACACTCCAGTCTCTCGCATGATGACTACATATACCCGGCGAGGACCCGGTCAGAGTTACCTCAAGGTTGTCTTGCAGGACAGCATCAACTCCCTCATCGAGCTCAAGGATCTCGACCTTGAGATCAACCCGCTCAAGGTGTACGAGAAGATGGTTACTGAGCTTGAGATCCAGGGAAAACTTCCCCCAAACCTGCCCAAAGGCGTCACCGCAGAGCAGGCGGCCGAGAATGAGACTGTACAGAACATCATCACACCACGCGTCAACATGCTCATGGAGATTGCCAACAACTTCCTCACGACCATCATCAAAGGCCTCGAGGAAACACCCTACGGCATCCGATGGATTTGCAAGCAGATTCGAAGTTTGACGAGACGAAAGTACCCTGATGCCCAAGATCAGACTATATGCACCCTCATCGGAGGCTTCTTCTTCCTGCGCTTCATCAACCCCGCCATTGTCACACCAAGGTCATATATGCTGATCGATGTGCTACCCGCGGAGAACCCCAAGCGGACACTAACATATATTGCCAAGATGCTGCAGAATCTCGCCAACAAGCCATCGTATGCGAAGGAGCCGTACATGGTCAAGTTGCAGCCTTTCATCCACCAAAACAAGGAGAGGATCAACAAGTTTCTGTTGGATCTCTGCGAAGTACAAGACTTTTACGATACCCTCGAAATGGACAACTACGTTGCTTTGTCCAAGAAAGACCTGGAGCTTTCTATCACGCTGAATGAAGTGTATGCGACACACTCGCTGTTAGAGCGACATGCCGCTGAGCTTGTGAGTGGATTGAAGGACTCCCACACGTTTCCGTGCTGACATTACCAGGCCAAAGAAGACAGTTCGCATCTTGGTGTCATTCTACAGGAACTTGGCACCGCGCCAGCACAGCTTCCGCGCAAAGAAAATAGGGCCATTAACCTCCCACTATTCAGCAAATGGGAAACACCCCTCGATGACCTCACAGCAGCACTCGACATTACGCAAGAGGAGATCTTCTTCATGGAGGCCAAGTCGACGTTCGTCATGATCCTCCGCTCGCTCCCTTCCAACACCTCCATCACACGACGACCACTCCGACTCGATCGCATCGCCGAAGCAGCCGCCACAACAAAGAATGACTCTGTCATGGTCAAGAAGGGCATTCGCAGCATGGAGTTGCTCTCTCAATTGCAAGATCTTGGTGTCATTGACAAGGAAGACGGTTTCTCTCTACTGCGAGATGAAGTCGAACAAGAGCTGGTGCACTTGGGTTCCATGAAAGAAAAGGTCATTGAGGAGACACGCAAGCTAGAGGAAGTCTTCCGCACAATCCGCGACCACAACGGCTTCCTTGTCAGCCAACTTGACACATACAAATCCTATCTCCACAACGTGCGCAGTCAATCCGAAGGCAAGACAAGGAAACAGCAAAAACACCAGGTCCTCGGCCCTTACAAATTCACTCATCAGCAGCTTGAGCGCGAAGGCGTGATCCAGAAAAGCAACGTACCCGAGAATCGGCGTGCGAACATATACTTCAACTTCACGAGCCCCTTACCTGGTACTTTTGTCATATCCCTGCATTACAAGGGACGGAACCGCGGGCTTCTAGAACTGGACCTCAAGCTAGACGATTTGCTTGAGATGCAAAAGGACAACCAGGAAGATCTTGATTTGGAATACGTCCAGTTCAACGTTTCGAAGGTCCTTGTCCTTCTCAACAAGCGGTTCGCGAGGAAGAAGGGGTGGTAGGGCCGTTTCCTGATACTTCCTGCGCGCGATCTGACGGACAAGTCACGAAGAAGATACGATACCCCCGATTATTACTACGTCTTTCCTGCTATCTGAGGACTACAAACGCCACACAGACACTGATCCGACTCTCATTTATTCAACCCAACATACCATCTTTCTTATTACTACACAACAGGACATCTTTTTCTACGAATCCGTCCATAAGCATCTCGGCGCCGGAGTATAGGCGTATATTGGCGCGCTCTTTCTCTCAACTTCTTTGAGGATACCCCTGGTGTGACGGATAGGTCTGGATTGGTTTGCTGGAGCTAGTACACAGCAGGAGTTGCTGTCTATGGACATGGATATGGCGGAAGTTTTTAATTTCCGTTTTCCCTCGCAATGCTCTACCCCCTGTTTGTGGTGGTTTGCTTTTGCTGTCTTTTCCTTTTGCTGTCAAAGCCAGTTGAGTTGTTTGCTAGCGTTTGTTCTGTTTATGGAAGTTATGCGACTGCTTTTTACTTGTCCCCTTTCTTCACGTCTCTCACTAATACGAGTTTGTCGGCAGGAACCGAGCCTCGCCATCCTGTTTTCCATTTTTGAGGGAACTCTTTATGAGTTTGAGTTTTTCTCCTGCGAGCAAAGGAACGATATCCAGAAGTTTTTTGACATTTGTATGATATATGGGAATGCGTATGCGAACGCGAGCGCGATGGTGTTTTATGGAACATAGCAATGCCTTTTTAGTTGCGGTTGATCCGAAATACTCTGAACTATGGATCTCTCTATTGCAATGGAAATGAGCATGGCTCCTTCATTCTAATAATTTGCGAATGTTTTCAAAGTGATGTTGACACATTACTCTGTTCTCTACCTTGATGGACAGCTCAGCGGACGATGCATGCCATGGCGTGCGTTGTTCCGGTGTACATGCAGGTCGATTCAGGAACTGGGTGATAACGTGCCTTCGGTCCCTCGGTCTCTCGACACGCTATTGCTACGTCACATACTATTATAGTACCCAGATGACCTGATTGATCCCCACCACCAATAAATCATGTGCATCGGAAGTCGTCGGCTCTACTACTATCATCAGTTCCTAGCAAGCTCGAATATATCTAGCTGCCATGGAGATAAGAGATAACAGCTATACATGACGCTACGGCTATCGAATGCATGCATCATGCAAGATGTGCGCCCGCGCACGCAACACATAGCCCGCGAATGCAACTAGCAGAGGCGGGTGCCTGTTACACGTGCGCACGCCATGTGTACTATAAGTGAGGCGGTGTTGACGGAAAGCAAGCGCCAAACAGCCAATCACAGTGACACACCTTGCTTCCGCCTGTCGATCGCCGCAGTCCGAGGGGGACGTGTGGAGAGGGGACAGAGAGGAGTCAGACGAGGCTACGCCGTGAACGGGGGTGGTGGATCTATGACAACGGAGCGGACAGCGGTTGTCCGATGATCATGGGCTATGACTGTGTTTCTCCGTTTCGGACTTGCTCACTTCCCTCTCTCTCTCTCACTTGTTGTATGATTTTGTGATTTAACTGGTGATATTGAACGGACGGTTGGTGTTTTATTCTGCTGCTTTGCTGGACTTGGGCTGTTTTGTCTTATCTCGGTTTCACTATCACTATCTATCTATCTGTCCATCAATCGACGCTGTAGCAGCAGCAACGACAACATGTCATCCTCCATCGCGATACCAAAGCGCAAGGGCAAAGGCCCTGCCCACGACCATCGGAACTCGTCGTCTTCGTCGTCATTCGCGGCTTCCACAGGGCCCTCGACGCCTAACAACTACAATTACAACTTCACACCTTCGCCGAACCGCTTCTCGTACGGTAGCGGGGGTAGCCCGCGTAGTTATGGTTCTTCCACGCCTTCGTCGTCGTCATCATTGCCATCGGGCTCTTCTACACAGACCAGTGCAAGTAGCATGCGTCGCAGAGAGTCTCTGATGAGCGAAACGTTTTCCCGACAAGAACATACCGTTGTCAATGTCGGTGGGGATGAAGAGGGTGAAGGGGGATTGAGGCTGATCACTTGTGTCAAGGCTAGTCAAGGATTTGATTGGAATCAAGGTATGTCTCATTCTATGCTCTTGTTGCTATCCCTACTGTTCCCTCCTTTCGCTGTTCTGGCTACAGAGGATGGCCAGTTGGGGGACGTGCGTGTTGGCTCTATAACGGTGTGTGTTGACAATGTTGACAGAGATGTTCCTCCCTTCGTACATCGATTACCACTTCGACGACCTCGAACGCCGACAGGATCCGGTGCAGGATATCATTCTGACAGATGAGGAGGTCAGGAATATGTTTCCTTCTGATACTCGGCTATAGATGTATACAAGCACGGATGCATGGGGAGGCTGTGGTTGGACAATGGATGTGCATATGCTTTGGCATTTCAACGGATGATGCGACACTGGATTCATGTTTATATGGGTTGGGATAGGCGTTTTGGTACATGGTCATGGGCGTGTGGTTTGGATGGCTGCATGCTGGAGACTGGATTGGATGGGATCAGGTGTTCGGGAGGTGTCTATATGCTGCTCAAGAAGCTTTTGTGCTCTTTTTGTTTCTGCAGCCCTGATGGAACAATACACAAGCTACATAGCTATCATGGCACATCAGGCCATGTATTCAACCGTGCAAGACTGTTGTGCTATCAGCGCATGCTTCGAGGTGGTGCAGCGACCCCACAGCCTCGGCCCCGATAAGGCGGGCTGATAAGGCGATCAAGCGTCGCGCGCGGTCCACGTTCCGCGTTCACAAACAAACAGCCAAAACAAACCTGACCCAACTCACGACGACGGCCATTGCACCACACGAGATACACACCCCACCACAACCAAGAAGCTCGCATATCCGCCTCTCAGCAACTTGCGCATACCATCCATCAAATACAAGAAATCCACAATCTCTCCAACAAAAAGGAAAAAGAACCCCACCCGCACAGCGCGCACGCTGCAAACACCAAGAACCCAACAATCACTCACCCACCCCCGCAATGGAACACCGCAAAATCGAACTCCAGTCCCCAAGCGATCTCACCTATCTCACCAACCAGATCCGCACCGCCGCGCGACAGAAACTCGATCTCCACCTGCCCCCAGTCCCCTCTACAGATGAGACCGCAAACGCGCCGGATGAACTACGACGGAGCGTAGAAGACTTGGTCGAGATTTTTGTTGCGCAAGTGTTACAAGGAATGCGGCAAAACATCAGTATCAACGGCATCGACGTTGTCCAGAGCGATTCAGAAGACGGGGTAGCAAATGGGGACAGGGACAGGATGGATATCGATGGGGGGAGTGGTGGATTGAACAATGGCAGAGGGGCCGAGTCACTAGTAGAAACCGTCGAATACGAAGCCTTTGACGATAAACTACGAACGCAGCTTTCCTCTACGGTGGCTAGACGCGATGCGCTGATTGCAAAGATCAGTCAGCAGCGGCGGACGACGCCCAAGGTTGCGGCCGAAGAGTGGATCAGGAGCTTCGAGGCGGAGAGTAAAACGTGGAGGGAGATGCAGCAAGCGGCGCATGAGCGGCAAGGAGGTGATGATAATGGTGATGGAGTATTGGCTGGTGTGGATGCGTTGGAGAGGCAGGAAGAGGTGGAGAGGAATTGGGAGAAGGCGGTGTTGGCGTTGCACAAGTTGAACAAGGGGTTACCCGAGACGAGGGCGAGGTTGGAGAGGGCGGGGGACGTGGTGGGGTACTTGGGGGGTGGGAAGAGCAAGAAGTGAAGGGCATTCTTCTTTTTTTGGGATTTGAGTATTGAAGGCGTTGAGTGCATATGGGTGTAAAGGCGTTTTTCTAGCGGGGCCGGAGGGGATATAGGATACCCACTAGCATTGATATTGCTTGTAAAGCATTGACGAGATAGTAGCTCGTTTGTGCTTCTCGTAGATACAGTACGTGTTGTATGTAAGATAGGTTTTTGAGAGTGGGTACTATAGCTATGTGTATTGCTACCTATTCACGAAAACATAATTTCGAAAGGACCGTCTTGTCCTAGACGGTTCTCTCACCAACTGTGGATTATATCTATTGAAAGGCCATATCCCAGGTCAAGAGGAAGGTGACGACAGCGCTCAATGCGATAGAGAAATCATGGATAGGTGACATCAAGGTGATTTTGTTGGCGAATGGCTGATCGTACGATGTCTGTGTCGCCTGAGCGTTTCTCAACTAACATTAGATTTCCTTCCACCCGGGCACAGCATTTACCCTCTCCGAGCTCCTACTTTCCACCTCCTACGTCCCATACGCATTATCGACTGCGACGCATCGTGACACGGACGCCATCTTACGGCCCTTTTCCTCCCGCGCTTACCGAACCGCGTTCTCAACCCTGCCATGTAACTACCTAGATATACCATGCCAGTCCGCAAACATTTCTTGACCTGTATTCGTATGACCAAATAAACCCATCTCATCCTCCGCGCAATGAATCTTCAATCGCAACGGCAATCACACGTGGGAACTAGTTCGGCAGCGCTCGGCGCGTCAAGCTTGCAAAAGCTATACGTCATGGCGTCAACGCCGACTTTCCGTCGTGTCGTCCCGCAAGCACCCGGGTTGTTGATAAATAACTAAAAAAAAAAGTGTGGTTCCTGTCAGTTCAATGATCTTTCGGGACTGCTGCGATATAAGGAATCAGCTGAGACTGTGAAGCATTGAAGCATGTTTTCGCTGGCTCGCATGTCTGTGTTGCCGGGTGGTGTTAGGGAGCTTGCGGCCAGCTCGCGCCTGGGATCGCTGTCTCGAACGAGTGCTTTGATAAACGGAAGGTATGGAAAGAGCTTGGAACAGAGAAGGGGAATAACGATTGACAAGTTGGATGAAGGGAGAGGCAGTACGTTTTTCAATTGTTACCTTCCTCCCGCGAGATAATTGTATTCGTGACCCTAACAACCCTCCCTTCTAGACCGCGAGCGCGTAGTCATCCTAGGATCCGGATGGGCAGGCTTCACAGTCGCCCGCTCTCTCGACGCCTCGAAATTCCAAACCCTCGTTGTATCTCCCCGTTCCTACTTCGCCTTCACGCCCCTCCTGGCCTCTACCGCAGTCGGCACCTTGGAATTCCGCACTGCCCTCGAACCCGTGCGCAGCCGACGAACAAAAGTCGAATTCTTCCAAGGATGGGCCGACGATGTGGATTTCAAGAATAGGACGATTACAATTGAAGAGGCGGTTGATGATCCAAAGCAAGGTGTTGCGTTGACTACAGATCGGCACGCAGGCGAGACCAAGGAAGAGAGGGAGGTGGAGAGGAAGAAGGAGGCTAAAGTGGGGAAATTGTTCGATGTTCAGTATGACAAGTTGATTGTGACGGTAGGATGTTATAGCCAGACATTTGGTACCCCAGGTGTCAAGGAACACGCTTTCTTCCTCAAGGACGTGGGCGATGCGCGTAGGATCCGGAATCGCATCTTAGCATGCTTTGAAGGCGCGGCGCTACCTACCACTTCTGTTGAGATGAAGAAGCAGTTGCTCAACTTTGCTGTTGTGGGGGGTGGGCCTACGGGAATCGAGTTCAGTGCCGAGCTGCACGACTTGATTAATGAAGATATGAAGAAGTTGTACCCGGAACTCATTCAGTACCATAAGATTACTGTTTACGATGTTGCGGAGAAGGTTCTGCCGATGTTTGACAAGAAACTCGCGGGGTATGCGATGCAGAAGTTTAAGCGTAGAGGTATTGATATCAAGACGAGTCACCATGTGGAGGAGCTGAGGCCGGGAGCGCCGGCTGAGAGGGGTATGTCGGATGATATCGACAATTACCATTTGTATACGCTCAAGGTCAAGGAGGAGGGTGAGATTGGTGTAGGCATGTGCGTCTGGAGTATGTCTTACGACTCTCATCACCTAGATACACAAGTATTGACTTCCACCAACAGGTACAGGACTCATGCAGAATCCCTTCGTCGACCACGCACTTTCCTCCGTCCGCGAGGCACCCACCGACCTACATCTCCCATCCTCATCCTCCTCCTCCTCTTCCGCACTCAACAAAGACGTAAAATGGATAGTCAAGAAAGACCCGAAATCCGGCTCTATCATCACCGACGATCACCTCCGCGTTAAGCTAATCCCTTCCTCTTCCTCATTCTCATCCGAACATAGCAGCTCCACAACAACCGAAGCAATACATCCCTCCGTCTTCGCCCTCGGCGACTGCGGCATCATTCAAGACACGACCTACCCCGCCACCGCACAAGTCGCATCTCAAAAGGCCTTTTGGCTCGCCAAACGGCTAAACAAGGGCGATTTATCCCCGTCCTCGCGTTCAGAGTCCAAGGGATTTACATACAAAGATCTCGGTACGCTGGCATATATTGGTAATTGGAATGCCTTGTTCCAGGGAGGAGGCAAGTGGGGTGGAAGATTGCAGGGGTATGTGGCGTGGATTATTTGGCGGGGGGCGTATTTGACGAGGACGGTTAGTTGGAGGAATAAGGTTCTTGTGCCGGTTTATTGGGCGGTTAATTGGGTGTTTGGGAGGGATGTTAGTAGGTTTTAGGGGAATGGGTGTGGAGGGAGGTGAATTGGTGAGTCCAAAGTCGAGGCCGGATGCTTTGCCATTATTACAGAAAAAGAGTATAGGTAATGTGATTGAAGTCTTTGTCACGAAGACATGTGGGCTTTCTCGCACATAATCTTGCGAATTTGATAATATGGATCACATTCCTCTCCATACAAGATATTTCAGACGAGTGCATACTCTTCTCCGCCTTCACCCTCGAACTGGATCCAATTACGAGGACGATCCTTCCACTCAACTTCAAACTGAGCGACATTAATTATAGCATACTCCCGAGCACCTCTAGAAGGTCTCAGGATAAAAGGTACGTTATATCCAAACAGGTTGACAATGATATCTCCGGCTTGTATCCCGATCTGGTCATAGTACCATGGTATTGCAAGGTCTCCTTCCTGCGTGAATATAAGAGTCAAAGGACGCTCAGTGATAATTGCTGTATGTGCAATGTTCAAGGAACCAACCACGAGATTGAAATCGTTCTCGGGTCCCAGCAAAGCACTGGTGAAATCATCCATATAGGCGAAGACATGGCGATCGCGTCGTAGTAGCTCATAAAGACGTTGAGGTTCAATACCGATCGGGTTCAGGACCCTGTGATAAAAGTTGTACAGCTCAGAGGCTCGACAAGTCGTCTCATAGTTCGTCTCGCTCCTGATACCTCCGCAAGAAAAAACAGCGGAGATTGTACCAATATAACGACCTTGCGTGAAAAGAGTAAGTCCATCCTCTGACAGACGCAGCAAGCCGTTTCGCCGCTTCCGCTCTTTTCGAGGTAGACGTTTGGGTTTTTGTTCATCCTTTACAGGATGATGAAAATAGTCTATGTCCAACGACCATGAGGGTATTGAAAAGTTTTCATCGAATGCTACATCAGGCACGAAGTTATTGTCCCGCAAGTCAAGATAGCATTCTGGGGAGCTTTCTAATATCTCAACCACAGTAACGCTAGCAAGGACTTGTTCGAAACTCTTCGAGTAGTCTGGTATAATCGGATCGGCTACTTGGAAATCACAGATTCCAAGTAGCCCATAGACCTGATCTCGGCTGTCATTAGCAACGGAACCCCAGGAGTAAGATAGCAACCAGGAGAGATTGCGGTTTTGCTCGTCACCATATCTCAATTCGTTCAAACTTCTCATTCTACTCGGATAGAGATGTCCATAGAAAGGCATATGGGAATCTTCGTATTGTGCAAAAGTCTCTTCCATAGCGCTGAAGAAGTCTGCCCACATAACAACGTGACATCCTATGTGTACGACCGGATCTGTTTGGGCCAGAATGAACTCCTGAATGATCCATAAACGATTGAACCAGGGTTGAGAAGTAATGTTCGTAGCATGATCTTTGAAATGGCTTAAACCAAATATCATCTCACTTCGCTCTAGAAAACTGAACACCATGGAGGAACGTTGTGGATTCGAAAGTGTAGGATCGTGCAACGTGTTGATTCGACGCGTCTCAGCGAAGAGTTCAGCAAAGGCCGTTTCGCAGCGCTCTTGGTCCTGGCACCGGTGGGATGATGGCCATTCGCCAAGCCATATCAGTACCTTCATCGCTGAACTGTATATTTTCGCCATTTGTTGAACCTGATGCGATCGCTCCTGAACATCGTTCTGGTTGATACACAAGGCGTCGACCCATAGGATGCGGGACTTCTCAGCATACCGGAGGCGTCTGAGGCCAAGATCAAGGCTTATCCTCATAATAATTGGGGTACCGTCAAGAAGAGCTTCGTGCGGGCTATCGGTCGTTCCCCACGCATATGAGAGAGCTTCGTATTCGATGTCTTCGTTTGACTTCTTCGGTAGCAGGCGCATTGAGAGAGAATCGTCGTACTTTCCAGGCAGTAGTTCTAACAATCGGATCTCCCCATTCTCGGATTCGATGCTTGAGTAAGCCGGATGGTGTGGGTTATGAGGTATAAGGGCTTGCGACTCCTCTTGCAGAGAATGCTCACTCATTACGGAGGGTAGCTGAGCCGTTGCTCAGTGGAAAGCGGACTAGAGAGAATAGTCGGTAGGCTGAGAGACCATGCGCATACACATACGAGTGCAAAGGCTATCGGAGCCCATCGTCTGGATGTCACACGAGGAGAGGTAATCGCGATATCAGAGGAACGAGAGTCCTTGCATCCATTGCGATCGGATTCTAGGCAACCATGATAAGGCTGAAAAACAGATACGTGGATGTCACAGATTGGACACCATCTGTCATGCGCAGCAGGTGGCGTAATTGTAACTGGTGGCGTCGAAGCGCATCGCAACTAACCGGGACGCAACTTAGGTCGGTGGGGTACATTGTTCTGAAGCACATACAAGCGCTAAAATACCCCGCCCTGCACAAGTCGCATACCACCAACGTAGCCACAATAGAGGGTTGTTTCTGACGTATTGAAAATATTCGGCGCATTCCATGAGACACAACAAGATTTCGTCTTAGTAAGTCGCACAAGTGTGACTTTTAGCTGCCTGCCGCCTCCACTTCTACATACATTTAAGAGAGTAGTCCGATTCGTATTGGCTTTGCGCAGGCGGATGCTAAAGGACATGGTAGCAAACAAGTTCTATTCGGTAAGCTTGTATGATACTCAAACAGAGAGCACGTACAGGATGATGTAACCAATCATGTCCCAGTTTTACTAGCCACATGTTTCTTACATGGAGATTTATGTCTCTTCCACTCTTGTTTTTGACATGTCTGGGAGCAGTAGAACGCTGATCTGCACCCACCGCATCCGTGCAATTCAGTCAAGTTGAATAGACGAATGCCTTGATTCAGCAGGCGAAAGTCGTATGATTGAAAGTGACACTGCGCCGAGCACGTTAGGAACATCGCTTCAGGTCACATTTCGCTCAGCATACCTGTGGGCTTGAACAAACCATCCTCCCTGTACTTGCGCCTCGTAATCGAATTTCCTTAGCATCGGAGAGCTTTTCCATGTCCTCCAAGATCAAACAAAATTGTTCTCTGGCTAGTACAAAGTTGTCTTCATTATCTCCTGCAGCGTGTATTTCGATGCTCTTCTCAGTAGCTTCTATTGCCTCTTGTAGTTTAGACTCTCTTCGATAGGCTGACCCGATCAAGCACCTGGAATTTAAGTGTACAAAGTCAGCGGATATCTCGCATGGGGTTTGCACCTTGGCTCTTCCTACCAGGCATCGCCAACTGGCATCGAGTCAGGTTTGTAAACGCCTAGTCGAGTTTGTAACATCTCTTGGGCAAGCTGCAAATAGCGATCCATATCTCCAGCTCTTTTCGCAACCTGTTGTTCGAAGAATAGGCGTTCCGTTTTCTCGTCCGCCGCACGAGCTTGCGCTACAGTGACATCGTCCCGGAAGTCGGGGTGTATAGAGCTCGCCATGGGTGGCATGATGTGTTTCTGTGTTGTGTTTGTTACTCGGCTCGAGTATTTATCAATGAATTAGTAAAAGAGACGAGATGTGTTTGTGGCTGTAAGAAAATTAGATAAAAACAAAACCTTCCAACCTCGTTCGGCGGTCTGGCGGTCTGGGGCGTGATTAGCTGGCGCGACCCCCGCCCAAGTTTCATCTCGGACTTGTTGTCACATTGACACCAACATTCTCAATCTTCGTTACAGCAGACTTACCGGACAAGTTCTCGAGAAAATCACACGCGTATAAACTATAAAGCGGCGGACTAATATTTCAGGCTGTTATCCATGTAACTCTTTCGTCGCCACGTAAGTTAGTCGCATCTACCTAGGTAGAAACAAAGAATTTTTTAAAGGGTGCTGGCCTATCGAATCTCTATAGAAGAGTACTTTTATAAGCTTTTGTTCATTTTTGATTGCTGTCGTAACGTTCTAGAGGTAAGAAAGCTATCTTTGCTAATAAGTGTTCTATCTTCCTCATGAGGGCCGTGGTGCAACAAAGACCGCGAAATGCACGTCGTGGTACATCATTCATAACGTTTGCTAGATTTCATAGCATGCAGCCTGATTATCTAGAAGTCTGGATCGATCTGCTGATACGCATGGCGAAAGAATAGCCACAGGAGAACTGACGATCGTTCCTGGCGGATGATCGGTCTGTGCGCTATCGCCTATTACCGCCCAACTCTACTTAGGTATCCGTTCAACATCATCCATTCCGAACACATTTGACGCTGTGGCATCCGAGGCTGGCGCCTAGAACCACTGCTCTCAACATGATATGGCGGTAAATGCGACGCGATTTCGCGGCGCAATCGGCGTTCGCTTCACGATTGCGACCGGTCAGCCCAAGTTACGGATTTGCCGTGATGAACAGTCGAGTGGCTGACGGTATATACTCCAATTCGTTTGGCGTTGAGCAGACACGCGAGAGTGGCTTTGCTAGCATGCACTTATCGCGATGATATCGATTGGATGCGCATGCAGCTCAGCAGAGCGCCTGCATGAGGCTGAGTATTAGCATAGAGATCATTGCCTCAACGACTTCCCCGCAACTCTGCCGCATCCTCAGCCCGATAGCAATTATTCAGGATCTTTCCACTGGTATGTCACGACCATTCGACGATTGCGATGCTCGCATGCAAGGTTGTACGAGGGGTAATGCTTCTATTTGGTACTGTGTGGACTGCGCGAGTGAGTTCTGCGAGCCGTGCTGGGAGCAATTTCTGGCGCATCGCGATGGCAGGGAAGGCAGAGATGGACCGCATGAGAAAGTCAAGTATTATGTGTACACCAAACTTATGAGCATATTGGAGCCCAAGCACAGCAAAGAGAAAGTGGAAGAACTCCACGAGCGTGATCTGGCTACTACCTGGTTCGGTATGATTGATCCATTGGGTGCGTAGGTCAACACTGACATCATCGAAGGTGTAAAAAGAGACGATGATCCAGAGCGTCACGACAGTTTCCAGAGAACAGGTGATCAGTCAAATCGTCAACAATTCCTCGATTACGATGTGTACTCCGAACTATTGGGCAGTCCGCTCAGAAGCGGCAAAGAGAAATACCCGCAAATTGTGTCTTTCATTGGACAAACCAGTAATCATTCCGTCAGTTGATATTCTGAACGTCTCGATGACACTAACTACGCATCAGATGCCGGGAAAAGTACTCTGATCAACATGCTCATTCAACTACAAGCAGCTGGTGTCCTAGCGGAAGGATATCCTTCTCCTGTCGTTGGTTTGAGACGGCTAGAGGCGCAAGCTGGAAATGAAAGGCCCAACAATGATCCTATCGAGCACACTCCAACATCCGCCGATGTACATCTATATGCAGACTCCAGAAGCATCGATACACGAACGCCCTTGCTGTATGCAGATTGTGAAGGCCTAGAGGGCGGTGAGAGCCCACCAATAGGTGCACGAGAGAACCGCAAGTCGCGGTCAAACCCTGATTCAGTCTCCGCACGGCTGACTCCAGGTCGTAAGCGATCATTGGCATGGGCAACTGCCGATACGGAAAGGGAAAAAAGAAGTTATATCGTGAAAGAGTTATACCCACGTATCCTTTACACTCTCTCGGACGTAGTAGTCTTTGTTATGCACGGCGCAAATTCCAAGTACGTGCAACATCTCCTCCAGGAATCTCCTCACTTACGCTTTTACAAGAACATTCGAGGTAGCAACCCTGCAACCCTTATTGCAATGGGCTGAGGCGTCCTTGGAGACATCCGTAAATCAACCGACACTTCCACATGCCATCATTGCACTTAACAGATGTGAACCAAGTGCCGATCCGAATGAATGGGAAAGTGTATCGGCAACGGAAAGCTTGCTAGCGGCCAATCAACACTGCATAAGCCCCAGGCATGGACATCCCTTCTTCATCGGCCTAGCCGAAAGTTGGAGGGAAAGAGGACGACGCATAAGATCCATCCTTGATCTGATACACTGCTACTATTCCACATTCCAGGTCGTACGCATACCACGTGAAGGCAGATATCAGCTGTTACACAACCAAGTCAATCGCTTTTACCAGGTGATCCATTCTTCGTGCGCAAAGTCGTTCGGTTCCCGGAAACGAGCGAACATGCTCTTCAAATCCCTTGAGCTGGACATGCATTTCCAGGCAGTATTCAGCCACTTTTCGCGTACGCTCACCATGCCATTTGACTTCATTGCCATGGCTCTAATCAATAACCCAATACCCAATGACTTTGGGGGGCATATGCTTCAACTCGCGCTTGCTATACAAGCTCATAACAAGAGATCAGTGCTTTCCAAAAGTGCTTTTAGAAAGATACACAAGGCTACTTCCATCTTTGATCGGATGTCTAGACTTGTAGCTACCAGCATCTCTCTTGATTGCGTTCGCAATCGCAAAGGTACGTGGTGTCAGACATTATCTTGACACAACATTCCTCTGCACCTCGAGTCATACCAAGAGGCCTTGGGTTCTGGGCATCTTGAACGTTCCCCAAACCTTCACTATTGAACTCTCTGACATGTCATAGGTTCTGCTTTGGATCACTTCGTTTACTATATGAACTACTGCAAGTTTTCAGTAGAGACCTTCTGGAGTCAGCATCTCACTTGCGAATTCTCCAACGGCTCATATCAATGCGTCAACGTTGGCGTCAACCACGATCCAAAAGGGCACCAAAACGCTAAAGGCAAAGTGATACCCGGCGACTTCGAGTCCTGTTTCCAACCAGAAAGTTATCTTCCGGTTTGGGAAGATAGTATTCGATCGCAGATGCGCGACATTGATCGCGAATTAGGAAACGCTTCACGACGAGCACCAGGATATTCCAGAGAGGCTTACATGATGGAGATTCACCATGACACCACTATCAGGTTTTTTGATACTTTGGGTTCCGCAAGTGGGATTCTCAGTCATGCTACATGTTTCTGCTGTCTCATGCAATCACCTGAGCACGTCCTTCGGTGTGGACATGTGCTTTGCACACAGTGCGTGCGGGCTCATGGACAGCATTCGCAGAATGCTACTGATACACGATGTCTGGTCAATCTAAAATGCTGCCCCCTACACCCTAAGGAAACACAATGGGAAGTACCATGTCTCCTCAGGTTCAAGCCTGAGCATGCAGGGATTCGTCTACTATGCCTCGACGGGTGAGTCATTTCCAGCTAAATCCGGAAGCTTTTCGTACTGAAAGTTCTGTGCAGTTGGAGCACAGATCTGCTTGCCAATAGTTTTTGTAGTTCTTTCTTACTATTCTAACCTCCCAATATGCTAAACACTAACATCTAAAAAGAGGTGGTGTGCGTGGTATCGTTGAGCTGGAAGTACTTCGCGCCATACAAAACCAAATCGGAGACCAAATTCCTATCCAGGCGTTCTTCGACCTAATCATGGGAACAAGGTAAGTTTTAATTATTCTTGGGCACCACAATACTCACATCTTGAAGCACCGGTGGTATCATTGCGCTAGCAATGGTCGCCAAAAACTGGAGCCTAAGGCGTTGCTCTGATAAGTTCAGATCATTGTGTGGTACTGCGTTCACACCGCGGACTTTGCACAGCATTCCTTTCCTGAGACACCTGATAACTTTGAAGCTCACTTCAAAGTATTCGACAGGTCCCTTCAGAGAGACGCTGATACACAACTTCGGAGAAGATCATCTCTTCGGAAATTATGGAGAACGAAGTTCTTATGTAAATACCAAGGTCGCTGTGACAGCCACAGATAAAACCGGATCTAAAGCGATCATCATTGCAAATTACAGCCGAAAAGAGGATGGAAAAAGCTCACTACGACCAGCGGAGTACGAATTTCTACGACCTGACCGGTTAGAGATTGGCCTTTCCATCGCTGATGCTGCGGCTGCCACATCAGCCGCGCCGACCTTTTTCAAGTCATTTGAACACGCTGATACCCATCGGACATATCTCGACGGTGCGATTTATCATAACAATCCCGTTCGGCTCATGAACCATGAGAGGAAGCTGATATGGCCTGATGTTGCTGATCGAGCGCCGGATCTCTTCTTATCGATAGGTACAAGTCAAAACAAGGCAGACCCGCGAGTCGAGCAGCCTGATGTGACAACGACAGACGAGGATAGGACTCGACGACCAACGTTCCATATGATGCCTCAAATCATCACTCAAATGGTATGTTTATTCGATGCTTGGGATAATCGTTTGCTTAAGACTTTCGGGAGCACTCTTTTGACAAATCAGTAGCGAAACCTCATGGATAACATTCTGGACGCCGAGCAGGCGTGGGATAAGTTTTGCTCCGACATGGCCCCAACAAGAGATGATGCATTGCGATACGTTCGTATCAACCCAGACATCGAGCGTCAGCCGCCGAAACTGGACGAAGTCAAAAAGATTGGAGAGTTGATTCGGGATACTCGGAGGGCACTGAAAACATCCGCAAGCCGTGCTCAGATTGCAAGGGTCACACATTTACTTGTGGCTAGTACGTTCTACTTCGAATTACTTGATAGCCCGATATCAATTAATGATGGGACCGTCTCTTGTTTAGGTAGGCGATCATCACAAGTGAAGCAAAGAGGTTGCAGCTGACTTGGCCATGAAGGTCATATCCGTTGTAGGTTCGAGAACGACTCGCCCTTACTCACAGGCCTGGGAGAGTTCTTCGCAAAGCGCCAGACAGGTACTTTTCAGTCTTACTTTGAGATTCAGTCTGATCTAGATAGTCCTTTCACTCAGGTAAGCTTTCCAATCATAGCACCGTTGCTACGCTAAGCGTTTTAGATTCCTCTGTCATTGGAGACTATATCTGAAATGCGGCAATTGCTGTCGTTTCGGTTGCCCATCTGCAACATAAGGGCGAAGAGAAAGGACTCACAAATCGATATCTCACTGCACATTCGAAGCCGCGACCTGGCCCCTGCCAAGTACCACATAAGTGGATTTCCTCGAGCTGTCATGAGAGACAATGAACCTAAAAGTAGGCAGTAGCAAGAAACTGACTATGAGAAGATGCTGACGTTATCAAGGTTCTGATACCACGACTCCATCGAATGCAAGGAGAGATTCGCTTCGTGAACCTCATGAGCTACCCACTTCGGATGGCATATCGGAGTTGAGCGCTTCACTGAGATTACCCTCAGCTTCTTCCAGAAGTATTCCAGAACAAAGTACGCTAGCAGACGCTGAGCAGGTACTGACCGGTAGAAAATCGAGGCAGCGGTCGACATATACCTCGAACAATCAGTATGCTAATCGAGAGCAGCAGCCGCACGAGTCGATACCAGAGCGAACAAGGGGCCATCTTATGCCTCAAGACCTTACCCAGCGTGGTCAAGGTATCCCTCGTAGAAGTATTCCAGTAGAATTACCTAGCAACGATACACCTGCACTCAACAGGCCATTGCAGCAGCACTGCAGCGATAACATGGCTCGTACCGAAACCAATTCTTCTCCCTGGGATGGAACCACTCAAACGAATGACTCTCAGCAAACCATGGGTTTGCATGGTACGACGAAGACTGGTTCTGCACAGGTTACTGAGGGTCGCACCAAACGAAACAATCAAAATTCCCAACCGTCGAGCGACGCTACTCGTGAACCAGCTACTAGACTGGTGAGCGATCATCCGACTTTGCGATCAAGTAGACGGTCCGGCTCATCTGCTGACTTTCCAAGTCAATCAGCATATAGTAGGACCAGACAACGGTACCCCGAACTGGAAGCACTCGGTCGCAGCAGTACCAACACACGTACCGGAATCACTACACCTTCAAACATTGCAAGATCACCTACTCAAAGAGCTGCAAGTGACAGCAACGCGCCGACTCTAAACAATATCGACAGAACACGACCAGCACCCAACCACGGCCACAGGCAAACTTCCTACCAAGGACCATCGCATCCCAGCTATGCAGCAATACAACGACAACAAATGTCCATGGAACATCCGTTATCTTCTCTCAGTCTTCCCATTGCCCTGGAGCGACCTCCCCTCACACCGTCTCCAGGTCTTTCTATGACGGAGACTGCGCCAAGCGTGCAAACAACGTCTCCCTTATCTGAGGTTTATGATCGGGAAAATACACCACCGCGTGAAAGGCGCAGGTGGTTCTCGCTCCGTCCAATGTCCTCGGTGGTGTTCGGTGAGGAGGATCATAGTGAAGTATCGAATGCGTCGACGTTCGGACGAAGGAGGTTTCGTTGAGGCTTTCAGGCAAGTGTGAGCTTTCTGAGTTGCTGCATATTGGGTTTAGGAGTTTTGCTTAGATCTAGAGTACGTCGGTGTGTATTCAAGGGTTCAGATTCGGAGAATACGGTTTGGGCGAAATAAATGACTGAACTTATTGAGAATGATGATGTCTTCATAGCAAGTCATGCTATTACATCCTACTATAACACAGCCACACCAACCTAGCCTCCATCTCCATCCATCCATCCATTTATTCATCAACTTACTTCGCCTTCCCCCCACCCCTCTCCCGAATCCTCTCATCCTTCTCAAACCTCTCCTCAAACATCTTATAAAACAAGCCCAACCACTCCTTCTCCCGATCACTCAGCTGCCGACTCGGGTTCTTCCAGCTATTTGCCAAAATCTCCTTGACGCGGCGTCTCAACACCTTGAGCGCAACAGCTGCCCTCCATTCCCTCACTGCAAAACGGAGGACGTTGCCAGGCAGACTGATGACACCGGCGTGTAGTTTAAAATCCATGGCGTTGTCCGCAGCGACCATGAGGACCATGGGAAGCGGGTATGCAATGGAGGTAGAGTGCGCGTTGTAGAACTTGTTGCTGGATTGCATGATGTTGTAGTACGAAAGGAAGTGTGCGGTTTGGCTGCCCTTGTTAACGGAAGTTGGGCCCAAGGAAACGGTTTGGTTGTTGGAAATGTTACGCCAGCCTTTTCCTTCGCGGGTCAGGATCTTGGGGTAGAAGGCCGTTGCGATGACGGAGTTTACCAGGACGTCGTTGTCCGTATGGATGTCGTATTGGGGTGGTATGTCGACGAAGACACGGTGGCGGGATGTGTTGCGGTAGCGGTTCGAAGCGTGGCGCTCGTCGGGCGTGAGTTGGATGAAGCCTGCGTCGACTAGTGAGGAGAAGAGTTGGGCTTTGAGGTCCTCGATGTTCCCAAGATTTTGCGGGCTCAGGAAGTTTCTGTGGCAGAATTGCATTTCAGACCGTCCCGGGGTGGTACAGACTGCTTTCCAGGCTTTATAGGCGTTGTATGTGGTAAGGAGGTCGGAGTCGCCCTTCTTGAACGCGAGGCGGGCGATGTCAGCTCGTTGCTTTGCTCCAAACGGTGTCAAGAAAGGTGACTTGGAAGACACAATGGCAGCAATGGTGATAGCAACGTCAACACAACCAAATGTGCTTGCAAGAAGTACAAGCTTGCCCAAGTGTGCATCCAATGGGAGCTTTGCGATTTGACGACCAAGAGGTGTCAGCTCTTCGCTCGGCGTCAACGCATCGACCTCTACAAGTGCATCAATAGCACGGCGAATGTTCCTTGAAGTGGGTGGATCGAGTGCTTGAGCAAGGGTAGCCTCGATATCACCCAGCTTGCAGATCTTCACGCGCATGACCAAATCTTGGAGCGATAGCCTCAGCATCTCAGGCGTTTGCTGTTCCGCCATAAGGTTATCGTGGCGATATTTTGTGAAGAGATGGAAGCATAGACCTTCCTGTACACGGCCAGCACGACCGCGTCGCTGCTTCGCATTGGCTCTAGATATGAATGATTGTGTCAAGCGTGATAGCTGTCTGCGTTCGTCAAACCTCATCTCCTTGTGTTTACCTGTGTCAATGACGCAGGTGATGTCCGGAATTGTGACTCCGGTTTCAGCGATGTTCGTAGCAAGCACAATCTTGCGTACGCCCGGAGGTGGAACAAGGAACGCGGCCTGTTGGTCTTCGCTTGAGATGGTGGAGTGTAGCGGATACACATACCAATCGGCCTTGAATGAGGGATGGCTGACCAATATGTCATTGAGCTGGCGGATCTCAGCGATACCTGGAAGGAATACCAAGATGGCACTGCTGAAGCGGCTCAACTGCGAATCATACGCGACTGTCTCAACCAGACGAGTGATCAGATCGTAATCAATGGCGTACTCGTCGTACGCAGAGAGCACACTACGTGTGGCCGGACTGTAACCTGGTAGTTTGCTGGGGATACCGGATTTATCGCTCGTGATATCGTCACCCTCGTCCTCATCGCTTGTGGCGGTGTTTTTGGTTACATCAGATGCTCCAGTATAATTGGTCAACTCAACCGCATCCTCCAGGTATCGAGTCTGAACTGGGAAGGTCCGACCTGGTACTGTGAGGATTGGCGCGTCGTTAAGATACCTTGAGAACTTTGCGGCATCTACCGTAGCGCTCATTAATATGACCTTGAGTTCAGGTCGGCGTTCCATGAGTGACCGAAGGATAACAAGAAGGAAATCTGTGTCGATGGATCTTTCGTGGACTTCATCGATGACCAGATGTGTGACCTCTTGTAGACCTCCAGATGATTCTAGCATTCGCAATACCACACCAACAGTCGCGTATATCAAGCGAGTCTGTGAAGAAGTCTTTGATTCAAGGCGAATTGCATATCCTACAAGTGAGCGCATTGATCCAAGGTCCTTGGGTCCTTCGCCAAGTTCCTCGCTCACACGTTGCGCAAGCGAAATTGCGGATATACGTCTTGGCTCCGTACAATAGACCTTGCATGACCTGCCTTGCGAGAGCTCGTGCTCGAGGACGAAAGCCGGAATTTGTGTACTCTTTCCACAGCCAGTCTCACCGCAGATGATTGTAACCTGATTTTTGTCGATTGTTGACAAAATAGAGTCCCTGAAATTAAAGACTGGGAGGTTCATTCGTCCAACAAGCATACGCTGGTATGATGAAGTTGAAGCTTTTGCAACCCACAACTCTCTCAGACCGTCGTGATGTCGCACCGGTGTGCTATAGCCAGAGTTCGATGCGCTCGAGCTTGTAGCTGCCTGAGCGCGCATCTTAAAGCGATTTGTAAGCACAACACCATCTGACTCTTCGTTCTCGATCTGATCCTCGATGATCGAACGGTAGTGTTTGATAGCATCACGATCTTCCGCGTCCAAGCGCGTCTTGCGGCGCTCTAAGAACTCCTTGTAGACGTCTCTCCAGTTAGACGGAAGCCGGATGTAAACCTTCTCTTCTTTCGGTAGAGCAGCAGAGATTGAGAAGAGTGCAGCGACAGAGATGAAGCTTTCACTCTGCTCAACCGATACAGCAGCAATTTCAGTCGCCTCGAGGATGATTTGCTTCCGGTACGGAGTACAAAGAACCCCAACGATATCGATGTCGTACTCGATGTCTTGTTCCTTCGACCAGGTGATGGTCACCGAGTGCCGACAAGTATACGTTGTGGGTGAGACCATTTTGTAAGATAGTCGCGCTCCAGCATCCCTGCGGTTGTTAGTCCATGTCTGCAGGGTAGTGAGAAAACCAACCTGGATCTCATGGCCTCTTCAAGCACTTTGCGAGGAGACACTCCACTCATTTTGCCAAAGTCACGTAGTGCTATATTGTCGGAATCTGTGCCGTTGGGCGTAGCCTCGGGAGCGGACGTTGCATCGGGTACTGCAAACATGCCTCCTAGTAGGTCAGCGTCCTCTTCATGATCGCGCTCAGTTGGAGACGCTGCTGGTGCGGGATTGGCTTCAACTTTTGCAGATACTGGAAGATCTAGAGTAGTGTCATTATCTTGCACTCGAGTATTACTAGACTGTGAGCCATTTTGTTGTCTCTTCTCAGCTTGACTCTGTGCAATTTGATTACGCTTTGCAGGCCACTGCGCTTCAGCTTGGTATTCGTCAAAGAGAGGATCAGACGTAATTTGCTGCAACTGGGAGAGCAGTTTTCGAACAGCTGGAGTCTGCGTAGGCACAGGCGCGGATTTCTTAGATTTAGATCCCTTTGGCTTCCGTGTGGACGCATCGACGAGCTGTGGATCAATTTCAAACAGCTTGCCCTTGATCTTCAGATACCCGGGAATAAGTTCGTCGGATTCAAGGTCGCTATCGAGGTCACTGACGTAGACATCCGATTGACTAAACTCTTCCGGTGCTGGGGCTTTTACGGGTGCGGAAGGTGAGGCTCCAGAAACGGTGTTTCCGTTGGTGGACGGCTGAGGCGGCGGTGTCGGAGGTCGAGAAATATTAAGGGACTCGAGTCCTGACCGTCTGGGTTGCGATTCTTCATATGAGAAAGAGTGGTCCTCGCATTGGTCCAAAGCAAGCCACTCCAGCGCTTCTTGAAGACCCCAGATACCAGAAGACGCATCAATGCTTGCAGCATTGGCACAAAGCCATCTCAAGACGGGCTGGATGTGATCCTGAGAGAAACCTAGCTCGCGCAGGGTAAGATCAAGGGTCCAAAGCTTGGACATGGCATCCTCTTCAGTCAGGGTCTTGAGAAGGGACTGCTGTCCCTGCCTCCTGTTCGAGTCGTTCGACTCTGCCTGGGCTAGGAGAATAATGCTATCCAAGATCTCACTGGGAAGCCAATCGTGGACCGTCATGGCGTGCGACTGGCTGCGGAGGAGCCTACGGTCCGTCTGGAATTTAGAGACATATCGACTAGATTCACGGCGGACCTTTGGTGCGTGCTTCTCAACAAGCAGTTGGAGTTCATCACGCTCTAGCTGGGCCTCGAGTTCCTCGGGAGTGGGTGCGACGTCTGGCTTGGGCGCTTCAGCCGTCTGGGACGTGGTCGGCGCATGCGTAGGCTCTGGTGCAGTCGCGCTTTTCTTATCCGGTGCCTGAACGACTTGCTTGGCTGGGGCGTCTGCAGCAATCTTTTCTGGCTTGGGCTTGCTCGCAACCGACGTGGTCGCGAAGCCACGAGCGGGGTTGCCGGCGGGCTTCTTTTTCTTCGCCATGGCTAAAACTCGGAGTTTGGTTGAGTGGTTGTAATGTGAGTGCAGGGGTCTCAGGCGGGCTTCCGTATGGAGTATATCGGAGCTTGATCCCGGGCGAGATCAAGGTTGGGTGGATGGTCGTAGCTGGTGGGACGCATAAGGGCGCAGTGTTCCAGGAGAGGCAGTCAAGTGGTTGTCGAGGGCGGAAGTGCCAGTGGGGGTTGGGTTGGGTGATGAATGGTGCTCCACTCTCCGATGTCATCGCCCTAGCAAATAAACGAGAACTCTTGGCAACTTCGCGATACTTTCGCCGGCAAGCACCCCGCCATAACACCCCGCAATCCGCTTTCACATGTGGACTGGACGACATGGCTGCTGTGAATGGGGACGCTGAGTCGCGGGCCATAAGCCGCGACGAGCTGCGGCCGAAGCTCATCACAAGCTCCACCAAGCGCCGAGTCAACGAGCTCTCGGGACTGCAACACCAGGTGGCGGACGACTGTGAGTGCCTTTGACGACTACGCAGAGGGCGATATCAGCTGACCAGAGACCTTCCACATAGCGCTCGTCACAGCCGACCTCCAGGCGCTCCTCGAACTACTCTTTGAAACATACCCGCTGTACGACGACCGCGAATCACGACGAGCGGTCGAAGGCGTCCTTAAGTCGCTGGTCAACGGGCCACATGGCGACAAGGTGCTGCCTCCGATTGTCAAGTTTCTGACAAACGAATGTTCCAAAAAGGCAATCGCACACGCCAACGCATTTGTGCTGAACGACTGGTGTTCGGTGTTGCTGCTGCAATTTGCAAAATCGCCTGAGCGGTGGGCCAAGCATGGACTGGATGTGGCTCTGGCGAATGCGCGTGTGCTAGAGACGTGTGTGGGTGCTGGCGGCGACCGGCGAGCTGGCCGCATCTCAATAGCGGCCCTCGTTTCGACGCGCCGCGCCCTGCGCGCCATATTCCGCTCCGAGGCCATTGGCAAGGACGCTCATTCCAAACTCATCACGACCCTCACAGCAAAGGGCAGCGCGCCCACGGCTGGAAACGCTGTCTTCCTTGGCGTCATTGCCGGCGTCTCGTCCCGTCTCGAGACCGTTAAGCCGCTCCTCGAAGCCCACAAACAAGACTACTACACATATTATACGAGGGAGATTGTGGGATCAAGGAGCCAGCTGCCTGATCACATTTCCAATGCGCTGCACGACTTCTTTGACAGCTTCCCTACACTGGAAGAGCTGCGCAAGGATGTCATACCACCCATCGAAAAGGCCTTGCTGAGAGCGCCGGAAGTGGTGCTTAACGATATTGTCTCACCCATGTTCCTGGCCCTTCCGGAAACCATGGACCTCTCTGACATCCTGCTGGGAAACATGCTGAAGCCGCTGCTTTCAAATGTCAAATCGAGCAATGCCGCAATCCGAGCAGGCGCCTTGCGAACTTTCAAAGCCTTGGCTTCGCGATCAAAAGATGATGCCAAAATTGACAAGGTGGCAGATGAAGTGCTTACCCCATTGAAACAAGGCAAAGTATCCGGTGTCGACCAGAAAGTTCTGCATGCTCAGATGCTTTCAGCACTACCTGAATCGATATCCTTGTCAAAGAAGATACCAGCAGGTATCGCTCCAGTCGCTTTGAAGGAGCCAAGCGAGCCAGCTGTCGTAGCCGAAGTGTCCGCAATGACAACCCACTTGAACTTTGGCTTAGCTAATGGAGTATCCCTCGACAAAACTGTCTCGGATGCATTTATCAAAGGTATGGGTGATAAGCGTGTGCCCGTCAAGCGCCTCTGGGCTATTCGTGCTGCGGATATCTGGTGGGGTCTTTCCGACGAGCAACAATCCCAACCAGACGTACTTGCATTCTGCCAAACCACCCTACCAAAACTCATTGAGATCTGGCAGGAAGTCAACGCGAACCCCTTGCCTGCAACGCAAAGTGGATTGGTCGCGGTAGGACACTATGCGACCGCCCTTCTCATCGATAGGGTACAGAACATGAAGGACGAGAAGCTTGGATCTATCCATAAGAAATCCGATGTCATCTCCCAATCGCTGGCCACGCAACCAAAGCCTTCCATTCATCTCAACCCTAAAGTATATTCGAAGCTGTCTTCCGAAGAGGATGTCTCGATTGCGCTTCGCGCCCTAAAAGCACTTGCCCCCGAGGTCACTCAAGCTTCAAAAGAAGTCGCAGATGCATGGGCGCAGGCATTCATCTTCCTGATTGTTGCTCCCAGCGTCTCTGCTAAAGCCAAATCCGCTGCTAAACAAGCCCTAACGCAATCATATCTCCAGACCTCTCCAGATAAGATCAGCAACATCATCGTAGAAGGTTTATGGTCATGGTACAGGTCCAGTGAAAAAGAAGACAAGGATAGTGCGGCATTCGCATCCAAGGCAAGCTCTGTTGAACTTGGGGCCATATTGGGCTGCATATGCCTCTCTCCAGAGACAGTAAAGCATCACAATGCAAGCGTGGACGATGTAAGCCTTCAAAAGCAGGCCATGAACCTTGTCGTATTAGCAAGGAAAGAAATTATCCCAAGGGTTTCTTGGATCGACCAGTGTCTTCGTATGGGTGTAGATCCAGGTCAGCTTGTGCGAGATAATCTGCAAGAGTTTGTGAACACTATCAACGAAGCAACTGAGGTACGACTTTCGTTCCACTCTGCCTAACAGTTTGTTGCTAACGCGCAATACAGAACAAGGACAATGAGACGTTGCCCACTATCAACGCAGCGGCTTACAGTGCTTATACCGACATGGCTTTCGTGGCTCCAGAAGCTGCCTTGCCAGCCGTGGTCAAACAGTTCAGCCAAGATCTTGACCCGAAGCAGATGGAATCTGTAGGACCAACCGAAGCTGCCATCTTCCGCACACCAGAGGGAACTCCCTACATTGACGTTCTGTCGAAAAAGGCTCCTGTAGTCATCGACAAGAACACAAAAGACTACGATACGCTAAAGTGGGAGGAGGAGCTACGAGCTCAGCTTGCACAGAAGAAGGGCCAAGCTAAGAAACTCAGCACGGATGACCAGGCCAAGGTTAACGCTCAGCTGGCGAAAGAGGCTGCCATAAGGAAAGAAGTGGCGGCCACAGAGCACAGGATGAGGCGAGGTGTGGGCATCATCCGCAGTCTTGCTACTGGACCTCCTACCGAGGCAGAGCAATGGATGGGACCGGCCGTGGATCTCTTGATTCAAGCTATTCGCGCTGGCGCTGGTCTTCTGCTGGGAGATATTCCTGCGACCGCTTTGATATCCTGTTCCGAGCGGATATCCAGCCGTCTGGGCATGATGCGACCATTTGTCGGCGTAGCAGTACTACGAACAATTGGGTCCATACAGCTTGCTAGCGAGTACGAAGATGAAGACCTGGGTGGTAAGTCCATATCGATTGCGGATTGACAGTAAAATCATCCTAACCATGCTAGATCTGGTAACGCGTGTCCTATACCGTCTTCGCTTCTTGAGCGAGCAAAGGCCTCTTGATGCAGTGTCTCTGGCATATTGTTTCCCTCTATTGTTCCTTGTTTTAGAGAAGGGTGGCATAGGTAAATCTGCAGCTGAGGAAGCCGATGAGCAACTCATCCTAGCCATCGAAGTGTTGACCTTCCACACCAACTCCTGTAAGCTCCTGAAGGCACACAGAGAGATCGTTTTGCTAATATCCGATAGGCACTGACCCACGTCTGCCACGAAAAGCCTTGTTGGAGATTCTGGTATGGTCGTTGCAGAAGTACCAGCAGCACTACAAGATCATCAAGGACTGCATTACCAACCTGGCTAGCGGCCTAGCCCCCAACATTGACAACGATGAACTGAGCGCCCTGCTGCGCGGTACCATCGCACCCGAGACTGGTGTCCGAACTGCGATCTTGCAAGCCATCGATGCTGAACTGGACATGAACGATTTGAAGTTCAGTGAGGAGATTTTCATCGCATGCCACGATGACGAGCCTGAGAATGCCGAGCTTGCCCGGACAATCTGGGAAGAAAACGACCTGGAGCTTAAAGCAGATGCTGGTGTCCAGCTGCTCCCCTACCTGGACTCTCTCGACAAACCGCTCAGGAGGGCGACTGCACGAGCTATTGGCGAGGTTATCACCAAGTATCCTGACACATTTGACGACATTCTACGTAGGCTTCGGGAGACATACGCAGAAAAGGCGAAGCCACGCGTTCCAGAGCGTGACGAATATGGCATGCCGCGAAAGGTTGATCTACGCGACCCCTGGGAGAGCAGAGATGGTATTGCGCTTACCTTCAAGGAAATGACACCAGGTTTCAAGCCTGACGATCTTGTGGATTTCTTGAACTTCTTGATCTACGAGGGCCCCTTGGGAGACAGAAGCCCAGCTGTGAGAGAAGAATTGATTGAAGCAGCAACCTCGGTGATCACCGTCAAAGCCCAAACCAAGGTCGAACCTCTCATGGAGCTTTTCGAGAACGCTCTCGAAGCTCCTGATCGCAAGTCAGAGATGTACGATCAAGTCAACGAAGCAGTCATTATCCTGTATGGTGCATTGGGTCGTCACTTGGCTGCCGGCGACGAGCGAGTCCCAAAGGTCGTGCAAAGACTGCTGGCGACTCTCAGTACACCTTCGGAAACTGTGCAATACGCCGTTGCTCAATGTTTGCCACCTCTAGTACGAACCTCAGAACAAGAGGTTTCGAACTACATCAACCAAATGATGGATCAACTTCTCACGTCGAAGAAATACGCCTCGCGTCGCGGTGCTGCTTATGGTCTTGCGGGTATTGTACGCGGTAAGGGTTTGGGTCTGCTCAAAGAACATCGCATCATGTCTACGCTCAAAGGAGCTAGCGAGAACAAGAAAGATCCCAACCAAAGGCAGGGAGTGTATCTGGCATATGAGCTTTTCTCTCTGATCCTCGGTCGCCTGTTCGAGCCCTACGTTATCCAATTAGTACCGCAACTGCTCGTGGGCTTTGGCGATACCAGTACAGACGTTCGCGAAGCCTGCTTGGATGCTGCCAAGACCTGCTTCTCCACGCTTAGTTCCTTTGGTGTCAGACAGGTTCTGCCGATACTCTTGGAAGGTCTCGACGAAGATCAGTGGCGTAGTAAGAAGGGTGCTTGCGACTCTCTAGGAGCCATGGCCTACCTAGACCCCAACCAACTAGCCCTGAGCTTGCCAGAAATCATCCCGCCCCTTACCGTCGTATTGACAGACAGTCACAAGGAAGTACGAGCTTCAGCCAACCGAAGCTTGCAGCGATTTGGTGAAGTCATTAACAACCCCGAGATCAAGAGCGTGGTCAACATCATCTTGAAGGCTCTCAGCGACCCAACAAAATACACAGACGATGCCCTCGATGCTCTCATCAAGATTCAGTTCGCACATTTCCTCGACGCGCCTTCTCTTGCTCTCGTGGTTCGTATTCTGGAACGAGGTCTGGGCGATCGATCTGGAACCAAGCGAAAGTCCTCACAAATCATTGGCAGTCTAGCATACCTTTCGGAAAGGAAGGACCTCACATCTCATCTGCCCATCTTGGTCGCTGGACTGAGGGTCGCGATTGTGGACCCTGTACCGGCTACGCGTGCTACTGCTTCGAAGGCACTCGGATCCCTAGTAGAGAAGCTTGGAGAGGATGCCCTTCCAGATCTCATTCCAAGTCTTATGTCTACACTCAAGTCCGACACCGGTGCTGGAGACCGACTTGGTTCTGCCCAAGCTCTCTCAGAGGTCCTCGCCGGTCTCGGAACTGGACGCCTGGAGGAGACACTGCCCAGTATCTTGCAGAACGTGGCCAGCAACAGGGCTTCTGTCCGCGAAGGCTTCATGTCCTTGTTCATCTTCTTGCCGGTCTGCTTCGGAAACAGTTTCGCCAACTACCTCAGCAAGATCATTCCTCCCATCCTTGGCGGTCTTGCAGACGATGTGGAATCGATTCGAGAGACTGCCCTGCGCGCTGGTCGTCTCTTGGTCAAGAACTTTGCTACCAAAGCTATCGACTTGCTGCTACCTGAGCTGGAGAGAGGTCTTGCAGACGACAGCTACAGGATTCGTCTCAGCTCCGTCGAGCTTGTTGGAGACCTACTTTTCAACCTCACTGGTATCAGTGGCAAGGTGGAAGAGGAGGAAGTCGAAGAGGGCGCCAAGGAGGCCGGACAATCTTTGCTCGAAGTTCTCGGAGAAGAGAAGCGCAACAAGGTCTTGTCTGCACTGTACATTTGCAGGTGCGACACGTCCGGTTTGGTGCGGACAGCATCTATCAACGTCTGGAAGGCATTGGTGGCCAGCCCACGTACTCTACGCGAGCTTATCCCTACACTCACTCAACTTCTCATCCGTCGTTTGGCAAGCTCAAACATGGAGCAGAAGGTCATTGCCGGAAACGCGCTTGGAGAGCTCATTCGAAAGGCAGGAGATGGTGTACTCGCCACTCTACTGCCTACGCTCGAAGAAGGTCTACACACCACCGATACAGACGCCAAGCAGGGTATTTGTATCGCCCTTCGCGAGCTCATCGCAGCCGCCTCGCCAGAGCAGCTGGAAGACTACGAGAAGACTCTTATCCAGGTTGTTCGAACTGCTTTGGTGGATCCCAACGCGGACGTGCGGGAAGCAGCTGCCGAAGCCTTCGATGCTCTGCAACAGATCTTCGGCAAGACGGCTGTCGACCAAGTTCTGCCTTACCTACTCAACCTCCTGCGTTCGGATGACGATGCGCAGAACGCGCTCTCCGCGCTTCTCACCCTCCTCACAGATCAAGCGCGGTCCAACATTATCTTACCAAACCTTCTACCTACGCTGCTTACTTCGCCTATGTCTGCCTTCAATGCCCGCGCTATTGCGTCGTTGGCTGAGGTCGCAAGCTCCGCTATGACACGAAGACTGCCGAACATCCTCAACACCATCATGGACAACGTCATCGCGTCCAAGGACGAGGAGCTCAGGTCAGAGCTCGAGACAGCTTTCGACAAGGTACTGCTGTCTGTAGATGAGTTTGACGGTCTTAACACTGCCATGAGCGTCATGTTGGCCTTGTCGAAACATGATGACGAGCGGAGACGTGCGCGTGCCGACATGCACCTGGCCAAGTTCTTCGCAGAAGCCGACGTCGACTTTTCAAGATACTACCCCGACCTCATCCGCGCACTCCTCATCTCCTTTGGCGACAGCGATACAGAGGTTGTCAAGGCTGCATGGACTGCGCTCAGCACTCTTACGAGCAAGCGTCTGCGGAAGGAAGAAATGGAGTCGCTTGTTATATCGACTCGCCAGACACTCAACCAAGTTGGTGTTGCTGGTGCCGATCTCCCTGGATTCTCGCTTCCCAAGGGCATCAACGCTATCCTGCCTATCTTCTTGCAGGGTCTCATGAATGGTTCAGTAGATCAGCGAGTCCAAGGTGCTCTGGCCATTTCCGATGTCATCGATCGCACCAGCGCAAAGTCACTGCAGCCATTTGTCACTCAGATTACCGGACCTCTCATTCGTGTGGTTACCGAGCGTTCTGTCGAAGTCAAGGCAGCTATCCTGCTCACACTCAACAACTTGCTTGAGAAGATTCCAACCTTCCTCAAGCCTTTCTTGCCCCAACTTCAACGCACGTTCGCCAAGTCGCTTGCGGATACTTCTTCGGATATCTTGCGAGCGCGTGCGGCAAAGGCTCTTGGTACCTTGATCGAGCTTACACCGAGGGTTGATCCGCTTATCGCTGAGTTGGTGACTGGATCCAAGACAGCCGACGAAAATGTCAGGACGGCTATGTTGAAGGCTCTGTTCGAGGTGGTGAGCAAGGCAGGCAAGAACATGAGCGAAGCAAGCAGGAATGCCATCCTAGGTCTCATCGACAACGAGAGCGACGACTCCAATGGTAAGTCCAGTAGAGACTTGACCCTTTGTACAGTTACTGACACAATACAGATGCAATGGCAATTACAAACGCCCGACTTCTGGGCGCTCTTATCAGCTGTCTCCCCGAGGAAATCGCATCCAGCCTGCTCAAGGCCAGAGTACTTACTACTCACTACAACAAAGCTTCTGTTCTGGCACTCAACGCCATCCTGCTAGATGCCCCAGAAGCCTTGACAGAATCCTTTGCAGACGACACCGTATCCGTAATCTGCCAAGGAATCAGTCACACACAGCCGTTCATCTCGGACAACTCTATTCTCGCTGCTGGTAAATACCTGCTCTCGGAAAAGAGCAACAAGAGCTTCGACCACACCAAGCCTATATTTGAGGCTTTGGCGCCGGTGGTTGAGCCTGGACATCCTGTGGATACAAGGCGATTGGCACTCGTGGTGCTGCGCACAGTTGCGCGTGAGCACAACGAGCTTGTCCGTCCGCATATTCCCTTACTCATCCCGGTGGTCTTCGCATCAGTTCGTGACCCTGTTATTCCAGTCAAGTTATCTGCCGAGGCAGCGTTCCTGGCCATTTTCTCGGTTGTGGACGAGGAAGCTGCTGTGTTTGATAAGTACATGGCTGGACCTGGGAAGACGCTGTCGGCCGGTCAACAACGCAGCATGGGAGACTACTTCAAGAGGGTGGCTATGAGGCTGGCTGGGCAGGCTAGGGAGAGGAAAGAAGCTGAGGGTGGAGCGGGTGGTTTGGGCTTGTCGAGTGATGAGATGGAGGACGAGAGGGAGATCTGGAGTGTGGGCAAGGTGGAGTTGGGGGATGTGTTTGGTGAAAACTAGGGATGTTCTGTGGTAGACGGGGGATGTGCTTGATGAAAACTGGTGAAGCCGTATGGTAAACAGGATGGTGTTTGTGGTACAAAAGCGACTGCACTGGCATTTGGACGGTAGTGTATAAGAGGCGGTTACATGTTATTGTGCAACTGCATAGCGAATGGATTCAAAGTTTAACAAGCTGACTGTAACCTTGGAGTGATGTGTGAGAAGTGCAAAGGCTGGAGGTTTCATGGGACTCGTTAGCCTGCCCCCAGCAGCAACTCCGCAAGACCCCCGAGCTCTGACCTCACGCTCTCCACGCCTGTATGCCAGTCCATCAGCGTAGGCCCCGCACAACGCCTCCTGCATCTGCCCGTCATCGGGGAACACTTGCAAACCCTCGCGCGACTCTCCTGACGCCTTTGTCGAGTCGTCCACGCCCCACCGTCGCTCTCTCGCCGCTTGTGGCCGTCTCCGCAATCCGCACGCGCACCCGTCCAGCTGCGCGACCATCTCGCAACGCGCAACCATTCCCACGCATTGAGCGCCACGACGGCGCGCATCCACGGCCATCATGGCAGGCACGATACGGCCCAATGACATGAATGTCTCGACCACGCCGACACTCTCCTCGAGCACCCTGCCCAACCTCACATCCCTCAACACCGACCTCACCAAGAAGCCCAACGCGCCGCGCGCCCCCCGCATAGACGTCGAGCCCCTATACTCGGCAGTCAAGGGCTCGATAAGCGATGTCGACTGGACCACGTACAAGAAGACTCTCTCCTTTTTCCTCCTCGGCAACCTCAATCAAGAAGAGCTGTCCCACAAGCTCGGCAAGATCCTGACCACGCCCGCCCTCGAACATGCCCACAATGCCCTCTTCACAGCCATCTACGCCAACATATGGCGCGATCCGCCCGAAGCAGGCATCGCGAGCTGGGTGTCGAGTAGTGATAAGCCGACAAGCGGGACGGTCAAGGGGACGGGGGATGAGAGCGAGAAGAGGCTCAAGCATGAGATCATGCAGTTGAGCCGTAGGGAAAGAAAGAGGCTCAAGGGCATACCGGCTGGAGAAAGCCCGCTGGGTACGGGGCTGGAGGGCGCGGGCAGCGGTGCCAATGGGCCTGCGCAGGAGTATGTTGATGCGAGACGGGCGAAGCAGTTGGATGTTGGTCCAAGCAGTAATCAAGGGGGTGGGTTTGGAAAGACCAGTACGTGTATACCTTCATTTCTATCCTCTCCACAGCAGAGACTGAGGCAAACTAACATGACGAATAGACTGGGAACTCGAAATTCGCAAACGCTACACTTCAGCCCTGTCTGTCGAAACCCACGAATTCCCTACGGCAACAACCATTTCCTACCGGCTCTTACCTATATGCTACGAGTTTGGCCTGCCCCAGGGTCACACATCTGATTGTCCTGACTACCTCAACATCGCAACCGAAACCTACATCAAAGAAGCGCTAGCAAATTTACTCGGAAAGGTCGCCAACAACGGCCCCGGGTACGTCCGAACGGGCGAATTCAAGAAGAAGCTTGCCAGAGAAGAACGCCTCGTCGAACGGGGTGAATTGGCAAGGGGCACGGCAGGCGAGCTACCCGTCGAAGCCGAAGAGCGACGGAAGAGAAAGTTATTATGCATGGAAGACTTGCGTCTAGCGCTTGCCTTGGGAGACTCGTATCTAGGACAAACACCCTTCATCGCAGGTTCAGTTATGAACTCGCGCTTTCTCGACACCGAAGGCATCGAGGACATTTACAATCCGCCCCGGAAACCAGTGCTGACAAATGGCGTTGGTATCAACGGTACCGGCACCGCAAATGGCATCAATGGTATCGGCAATGCAGGGAAACTTGATCTTAACGGTGAGACATGGACGATCGATTTCGGGGACCCCATGCAGATCGATGACGAAGTGGGTATGCATTGGCAAGGTGGTAGTGTGCAGGACATGGCCGAGATGAACGATGCGCTCGATGATGTTTTGAACCTTGGAGATCTTTAGCATGGGCCAGAGGTACAGTCACGGAATGAAGGTGGAGAAGATGAGGGACAAAATATTTGTAGAAGGACGTGGCTGATGCATTGAGGCGTTACTAGACTTGTTGAGGAGGAGAGATTGCTTGCACCGCTTGAGCATTGGTGGGCGTTTCGAGATTGTTTGGGGCTATTTTCCTGCATGGCAACGGTGTTGAGGGGTTGATAAGGCGCGATCATGGGACGATACCCTATCTATTTGTTTCTTATTGGGGATCTTTGTTTTCGGTAGCATAGCTCGCAGTGTGTATATCGCCGAGTACTATTGTTTCGCCTACGTAGTCGAATGAAGAACAGTCTATATCCCACAAACGTCTCTCATGTTGCGCATAGGGTTTGGTCGTCTCATTGCATAACAGCCCTCGCATCCCACACCAGAACCCTTTCATCCCAACCCGTACTGGCACACCACCCTTCCGCCCCGAACAGACACCAATCCACACCCGTCACAAACTCTGTATGCCTCCCCATCCTCCCCATCTCCCTCCCTCCGCCATAAAACATCGGATCCTCCAGCATATTCTCCTGCTTCACAGACCCTACGCCCATGGCACTGCCATCCGTCCACACCCGACACGTCATATCGTAACTCGCAGATAGTAGAATATCAGATAAATGCGGACTCCAGCTCAACTTCCTTACCGCATATTCGTGCCCTGGGAGAACAGCAACGGGTCCAGCCTGCGGCATTCTAATGTCAAAAGTACGTATCACGCGGTCCACGCCAGCTGTTGCAACAATGGTATCGCGGTATTTATTCCAGTCGTGTGTCAAGGCCTCTGCGGGCGCAATTCCAATACTGGCTGCTTGGCCCATGCGCGCTTTGGGCGGTTGGTGTATCGGGACGTTCATGGTGAGGTGGTTGGACGCACTCGCTGGTGTGCGCAAATCGAAGACACGGAGATGGCTGTCTGACGACACACTACTCAATACACTGGCGTTGTGCGGACTGAAAGATGCGGAGTAGGTGCAGGAATGTGTTGGTAGCGTCGTGATACTCGCGTCTGAGTTGGGGTTCCAGATCTTGATGCAGCCGTCCCAGGAGGAGGAGAGGAATGTGTCTTTGGCCACGAGGTTCCAGTGCACGGCGAAGACTTCGCGGGCGTGCTCTTGCCATGAGGCGATGGGGTACGTGGGCACATTGATGTCGAAGAGCTTCACGGAGCCGTCGCCGCAGGCGGTCAGGAGCTGGTTCTCGTGGGATTCGGACCAGGTGCTGTCGAAGAGGGAATCTTGGGTGTCGAACCTAAGGTTGGGCATGTTAGCATGTGAAAGATGTGGGAAAAGTAGCTGGGTGCTAAGAGTCCCACGCACCACTTCTCGGCTACTATGCCATTTGCTGTAAGACCTAGTATGTACAGTCGTCCATTTCCGACGAGCCCGAAGTTGGCAGAGGTTGCGACTGCGATGCGGGAATCGAAGAATGGGCTGTATTTGACCGAGTAGCCGTTGAAGCCCTGTGTTCGAAACTCGAGCATGACGAAGAATCCACGAGGATAATAGTAGCAGACTATGGCGCGTGAAGTATATGTAGGGGTCGGCGCGTCATGTCGCGCTGGGATGAAATGCTGGTGTTGTGCTGCTGCATGGTTGCAGATGACGATGTGGATGAGACCGAGGCCTGGCGCTTTGGATATGGCGGGGCTGCATCGGGACTCGGGCTGTCCCGTGACAACGCGTCTGGCTGTACTGGTCGCCACCGACAGGAGCTCCGCATGCGTTAGCGAATGATCACGACACTATGAGTGCCTTCGTGATCAACTGCAATCGACATGGACGCGTTCGTATCGCGAAAGAGGAAGTGGGCTGAACAACCCCCAAAGTCGGTAGAGAATATAAGCATGCAGCAAGAAGAAGACTCTACCGACTTTAAGCTGGCTCTACTGGCATCTCTACACCCCAAACTCGACGAAAGCACCCTGCTTGAAGCATTGCTCGCCGCTGATGGACATGTGGAACAAGCCTCGGAGTCGTTATCGCAGCCGAGGAAGCGGCCTGTATCATCTACAGTCGGTTATCAATCATCGTTGAGCTCGTATCGCATTACTCCGGCCAACGGGACATCCACCAAAAGGCCACTGGTGAAGAAAGGGAAGACACTGTTCTTATACAGCCCAGAGGATGTTGAAGCACACACGCCTTGCTCCATCATCCATAACTTCCTACCGGCAAAGCAAGCGGAAGCATTGCTGTCTCAATTGTTGGAAGAAGCGTCCTCGTATAATAGGTATAAGTTCAAGCTGTTCGAAAGAGTCGTGTTGAGCCCTCACACGTATTCCTTCTACGTCAACAGCCTAGAAGAGGCAGAAAAACAGAAGACGGAGTACATTTACAATGGTGGCGAGCTCGAGGTGAGAAAGCCCAGAAGAGTCAGCATCATAATGTTAACATCGCCCAGGATGTCCGGCAAAGTACATCAGAAATGCTAAACGCATGTCCTCAGGTGGAAGAGGCCGTCAACCGCGAAATCCAACGCAGGATTCGCGACTTCTACCCCTCCGGCAAGAAACTCAAATACCAATCTCCTCACCCATGGAAGGCCAACACAGCCTTTGTGAACTGCTACGATGGACCTCAAGAAAGCGTCGGCTACCACGCGGATCAATTGACCTACCTTGGCCCAAGAGCCATCATTGGCAGTCTGAGCCTGGGAGTAGCGCGTGAATTCCGCGTTCGCAAGATCCTCGCCGAAGACGACTCTGTGCACCCCAAACAAGACGGCTCACTGGCCGATGCGCAGGGCCAGATTAGCATCCATCTGCCGCATAATTCGCTCCTGGTTATGCACGCAGAGATGCAGGAGGAATGGAAACACTCCATAGCTCCGGCTCAAGCTATCGATCCTCACCCACTTGCAAAGAATAAACGGCTGAATATCACGTATCGCTTTTACAAGGACAGTTTGCATCCGAGGTATACACCAAAGTGCAAGTGTGATGTTCCGACTGTGTTGAGGTGCGCGACAAGGAAGAAGGAGAGTAGAGGCAGGTACATGTGGATGTGTCATGCAGGTTACGTGCCGGGAAGGGAGAGCTGCGGGTTTTTCCAATGGGCAGAGTTTGATGAGGATGGGGAGCCGCCATGGGCTGGAAAGATGAAGAAGGAGGAACGAAGGAGTGGGGAAGAAGGAAAGGCTGGTGTTGAACATGGTAGGAAAGAGTGATGAGCCTACACATCCCTCTGGAGATGAGTGGCGCCCTCTCGGTGATCGTTAGGCGCAACTTCCAGTGAGTCAAACGCAGACGTAATCTGCAAATCGTCTCGTAGTCCCCTTGCAACGTTTGCAGACTCTAACCAAGGTGGTGCAACGAGTACTTTTGAGCACAAGTATCAATACCGCTGGTAAACTATACTCGACAACAAATCGGAACTTTATTCGGACCTATTCTACCGCCATACCAACCAAATATGCCACCTCTCTTCCTCTACCAAGCCACCATGCTCCGACCACAGATCGATCGAACCGGAGACCACACACCACTATCAACCTCTCCGCCAGCCAATGAGATACTAGACAGTCTTCTCACAGGCTATCTATGGGGCTGTCTCCTTGTGGCTTTGTTTCTCGTCGTATACTTCGCCATCAGCTTCTGTGCCTGGGCGATTGGGGCGGCGCTGACTACTATCGATACGGTAGTTGACTGCCTTCGACCACGCGATGTTCACCCGGACGCCCATACGGATGCTGTATTGATGGCATCCTCCTTGTTCAAGACGTACAAGACTGCATATCCGGAACGGATCTTCTCATTGAGCGAGGACGATATGCAGATGTGGCGATGTGACAAGACCGATAAGGGCCTGGAGCATGCAACCTCGCGCACAGAGAGAGACATAGTGCTAGAAGAGAAGGGATCAGAAGAATCTCTGAAACTTCGCATTGTCGGTAATTCCATCGATGATCCTATTCATCACACATCTTCTGGCGATGTGGTCATGGTGGACACTATCCCTAATACCTCCAACGCCTTTCCTGGTCTCGATCGCCTCGCTGTTTCTATACAACTCTGATTTATCGTTTACACTCCTGGCCTCTTCTTTACGTACTCGCCTAACCAGTACACCGCCTGCAGAAACGCTTGTTCTTTTGCAAATCTCGCCTTTTCATGCGACAAATCGCCCTTTGTCGCAAACCCGTGCTCGACATCCGAGTAGAGAAACAGCTGGTATGGGACGGTATGTTCTTTGAGAACGTCTTCTGTCTCGCGGCGTTTTGAAGCGGGGAAGATGTCATCGGTTTCTGGGGTCAATGTTAGCACGCGTCGTTCTTGTTATTCTTTCTCTTCTTCTCTTTTAGTAATGGCGAAATTTGTTTCGAGGAAAAAAACGTACCTGCAGCAGCGATGCTTAGCGGTCCTTTGATGTTGCGGATTTCGACTGAAGTGACGAAACTCGGATGAGCTATAAAACCTGCGTCTAGGCCGCCTTCCTTCAACCATCTACACACATATTTGCCCCCAAAGCAATATCCCACGCCTCCTAACCTCTTGATTCTCAACTCATTCCTCAAATATTCGATTACGCGCTCATACATTGGATCAACGGTCTCCGGTTTTGGCATCGTGGTTTCAACATACTCTTGCAGGTCAAAAGATGGGTCGATGGGAAAGGACACTTGATGGCCGTTGAAAACGTCGGGTATGAGTGTTAGATAGCCGTTTTGTGCGAATTGGTCGGCGATGAGCTGGGTATTGGGGAAGTCCATGCCGAGGACGTCGGTCATGAGAACTATCGCTTGTTCTGGGTTCTTATCCTCTGGGTAGGCGAAATATGTGCGGATACTATCGATTTGTTTGATCACTCCCTGAGGTTTCCCCTCGTGCTTTACGCCGACGACGCAGCATCGTTGCATGGGGTGCGATGCCATGGCGTTGAGGCAGTGGTCAAGATTACGGAAATGATACTTCAAAGTTCTTTATTTGATTGCAGGACGAAGAAATCGTTCTATTTATGCAACGATTCAAGGTGATGCTGAGGTATGAGTCTGATGAGCGTTGCCCCACAAAGCGACAAGGATCATGGTACCCTAAGACGCAAGCTAGCCTCTATCTCCGGATGAGAGCTTCTGGTACTTTGCACTACGCATGATAGATGGGATATATGTCAGAAGGGCGGCTTGTATTTAAAATCATAACATCATGTCATTCGTAATTACCAAATGTCCAATGTATCCCGTTTGTACAAAGTTAGTCCTCGCACTACTGAGTCAGCACTCAACTCAGATCCTCGCTCTAATCATGCACCATACATACGTATACTCTCAGTTTTGTGTGCGATTATCGAATACGATCAATGCCTGACACGGCTGACACTTCGCCTCGTAACCCTCTCGTCCACGTAACTTCCACGTGGATCAACATAGCTCGTTCTTCCTGGCCTGACAATCTCAACATCGCTAACGCGTCGCCGGGACACACTCCTCGCGCGACTCCTCGCGCGCGTACGAGGCTCTTCGATGTACTCAATTGCACGGGGTCGGGATCGGGATCGTCTAGAGGGTATGAGCATGAGACGTTGGCGCTTTTGACGTAATGAACCACAAACCTGTACTCGACGTAGCGGCCATTATCGCTGAAGCTCTCGACAGATGTTCGCTGCCAGTCGCGTGGTAGACGCATGACGCCAGCTGGTGGATGGGAGGTAAAGTTTCCTCGTCGTGGTGGCGGGTCGACGACGCCACGGCCGCGTGTTTCGTAAGTCTTCATAATACACATAGTGATGATGTTTGGTATTCCTGCTCTTCTTTGATGATGATGTTGATGATACGCCGAAGTTGTTGAGGCTCGTGGTTTCCGGCTGCCGGGTTCCCGGTATGATGACGTTTAATAGCGAACGACACGATAGTAACAAGCGAAAGAGGCGGACAGGTGCGGAAGGACCAATTGATGTACCGGAATTTGGAGTATCACAGAGTTGTAGATTTATTGATTCCTAAACTAATACGACGTAGATGGGACGCGTCGGAAATGACGTGCGCCAAGATCTACCAGGTTGTTCCAAGGTTGTATCTCAACTTACCAACCTCGTTATTTTACCACCAAATGTCTATATGCAGGCGGCGGTGAAGTCCAGACCTATGCATATAATCCTGGGGTCCTCTTGTTACAGACTTCTGGCTAGTGATGCAGCCCCAGCAGCACCCTCCTTTGAACCTAGCTCTGATGACGACAGGCAGCTTTGATTGGAAGCATGTAGAGAAGAAGACGATACTCAGATGATTCACATTTGGTGATGCGTGGGACCGAGTCTTCATAACAGTGAAAGCTGCGAAGTAGTCACCCTAGGATTGAGCTGTCATGTTAGAGCCACCCCCACATGCCCCGCGACTCGTGGCTTGTCGCTGAAACGTAGGCGGTGACGAAGCAGAGGCCACCGCCAAAGCTACCAGGCAGGCACCACCTCCATTGTGCATCGCCCATACCCTATTCCGCCTACTGACCCTTTTGTTTTGCGCGCATTATGTCTCTAGTATCCGGTATGAGTTCCAAGATGGCTTCCTATAGCAGCAACTAAGCGTAAATAGAGGCCATCTGGGCAGCGTCCCCTTCCACGACGCGTGGACAAGCAACACCTCTGTCCTCGGACCCCAAGGGCGAACGTATCGCCTATGCCGTGAGTCTGTCAACAAACGGCAGCTGTTCTTGAGTTAATTGAAGCATTGTAGTCGGGCAAATCCGTCTTCCTTCGCTCCATCGACGATCCGGCTGTTAGTAAACAATACACGCAACACACAACACAGACGACCGTCGCCCGTTTCTCCCCTTCGGGCTTCTATATTGCCAGTGGAGATGTGTCGGGTACTGTGAAGGTGTGGGACTGTGCAGGTGAAGGGGCTACAAAAGGTGGGCGGACAAAAGCGGTTGATCAAGGGTGAGAACTGATGACCATGCAGGTGACTACCACATCATCGCTGGCCGCATCAATGACTTGGCATGGGACGGCGACTCGCAGCGTATCATAGCAGTCGGCGATGGCAAAGAGCGTTTCGGACACTGCATCACAGCAGACAGCGGCAACAGCGTGGGTGAGATCTCGGGACACTCTTCACAGATCAACTGCGTCTCCATCCGCCAGCAACGACCGCTTCGCGCCGCCACGGGTTCCGACGACACCAGTCTGGTCTTCTACCACGGCGCTCCTTTCAAGTTCAACACCAGTCTCAGAGGGCAGCACAACCGCTTCGTCTTCGGCACCGCCTTCTCACCTGACGGCTCTGTCTTCGCTAGTGTTGGCGCTGACAAGCGCATATGGCTATACGATGGCAAGACTGGAGAGGCCAAGGGACAAATTGGCGAAGGAATACACACCGGCAGCATCTTCGGCATCTCATGGTCCAAGGACTCGAGCAAGTTTGTTACAGCCAGCGCGGATCAAACCGTCCGTATATGGGACCCTGAAGCGGGCAAGAACATTCAGACCTGGAGGATGGGCGAAGAAGGCGTCGCTAGTATACCCGACCAGCAAGTCGGTGTGGTATGGCCCACAGGCCGTAGCGACGGTTTGATCGTCAGCGTAGACCTCGAGGGAAACTTGAACTACCTCGTCGACGGCAACCCAAAGCCTACGCGCGTCGTTCGCGGCCATGCGAAGAACATCACAGCAGCAGCCATTGCTGGATCCACTTTCACCACAGGAAGCTACGAGGGCCGCGTCTTAGCATGGGACACTACCACCGGATTGGCCGACAAGGTCGAAGGCGCAGCACACTCCAGCTACGTCGCCGGCATCACAACTTCTGATAGTAAGACTGAGACGGAGCTGTACAGTGTTGGCTGGGATGACACGTTGCGTTCCATGTCAGTCCCAGACAAGATCTTCACTGGGGAGGCCCATGATCTCAAGTTCCAACCTAAGGGCGTTGCTGCAACATCGAGCACTGTACTGATCCCATCGGCTGATGCGATAGCAATATACTCCAAGGGCGAAAAGGTTGGCTCGCTATCAGTCAAATATTCGCCAACCTCAATCGCGGCCCATGGCTCTACTGTCGCTGTTGGCGGAGACGATAAGCTTGTACACATATACACACTCTCGGGCACCGAGCTCAAAGACACAGAGACAGTGCTCCGCCGCGCGACAGCACCCATCTCTGCACTTGCCTTTTCCGCTTCAGGAAAGAAACTAGCAGTAGGTGCTGGCAACGGCAAGATCTACGCATACGAGGCAGATGCAGACTGGAAAATCATTACAGACAGATGGAGTGCACATACCGCTCGCATCACTTGTCTGGCCTGGGATGAGAGTGAGAACTATGCCGCAAGTGGTAGTCTGGATACGAATGTCATGGTCTGGAGCACTGAAGACCCTGGTAAGCGTATCAAGGCTCTCAATGCGCACAAAGATGGGGTCAACGGTGTTGCGTGGGAAAAGGCGAACAAGGTGATTTCGGCGGGCGGTGATGCTAGTATCAAGGTCTGGAGTGTGAAGGCGTGAAACGCCACCAACGTAGTGAGAAGCTGAGCAAAAGAAATGCAATGATCGATCATGGTCTGGATGGCGAATCGTGAAAACTAAACTGAAAGCCGATGGCGAGACCGGATTAGAGTGTAACGGCTAGCTTTTGAAGGACGTCGAGGAAAGGTGAGGCGAACGGGGGCGCATGGAGGCGCACGTCGGATGCTCCTGCCGTTTTCCGCTTGCATGTGATGATGCGGCTCTCTCACTTTTCGAGGTATGCCTCACCAAATCACAACCCATATCGGACCTGCGTCATGATACATGCACAACATCAACAACGTGGCATCTTTACTATCTCACTCAAGATCAGCTTGTCTTATTCTGACCGGATACTCTTTGTCTCATTTGTTATGCCTTCGACTGGGGAAAGATTGCCATGCACAGCCTTCACTGTAAACGACTGCAACTTCCTAAGCTCAAGAACCTCACTTCGCAGATAAGTCCCGTATGTTGCGGAGAGTATGACATGGTATAGCGAGGTGGCTATTGGTTACCGTCTTGCTCTAAATGCAGCCCTCTTAACGACAACACATGCGTAAGCCGCGCTGCCTTGTTTGCCTAAAAGTCCTGGTATGCCTCAGCGCGAACAGCCACATCAAAGCTAATGTTATGCAAGCCTGCTGCAGAGGTCCTTCAAAAAGGAATATGATTAGGGCGCTCGCCCTAGCAAGCTTCACTACTTTGTATATGGCAGCTTGGTCTCCCAAGTCTCCATGAAGGTTTCGCGCTCTTCCATCCAAGCCCAGCACAGTACCTGCGACTATTACCTTCCAAACCGTGCACTAGTCTTTAGTGTCGTCTCATCGACTTATCATAGTTGCCGGCCGAATCCACATGGCCAACAACACATACCTCAGCGGGGTAGAAAACCTGCGCGACCTGATGAACGGTCAAGGAGTCTACATCGACCTCAGCGATCCGAACGCTGCTGAACTGTCCTTGCAACGACAAGATAGCCAGCAAGTGCTTTCGCCCGCGATACATCAACGACATGATTCATTCTTCTCATGCTCATCGCTAAACACCCCACGGCATTCGATCTCACAGCACCAGGCTGAGCCTCAGCCTTACGCAAACCTACACCAAAATCTACACAGCCCCAATATTTATTCACAGCATCCGGTCAATAACGGAATGTCCCGCTCTGCATCTCAATACTCTTCCACATCTTCAGGTCAGCAGCCACACCCTCACAGCCTACAGCGATCGTCACGCGGATCATTTGGTAGCACTTTCGTCACGAATGGGTCGGAAATGTCTCGCTCCATCTCGAGCACGTCAGCGGGCCAGCGTACGACGCTCCAGCCTTACCCGTTACAATCTCACCCTCAGGCCGGCCGCTTCCACACAAGGCGGTCATCCGAGCTTTCGCCAAATATGAATTACGATCATTTTTCAACCACTGCGATAAGTCCATTTGACTTCACGATCAACGCCACCCCTGGCGAAAATATGCTTGGAGATGAGGACGAAGATAGAGCTTTTGGTCAGATTGGTTACGACAACGAGTAAGTCCTCTTTAACCTATCCAACGTGTGATCGATAAGCCACAGGATTCTCTTGTAATCAATCAGAACCCTGGTGATGTCCACTTCCTGGATTCTGGATCCCATGGTCGTCGTACGGAAACACATCCACGCATGGGAACTTTATACATAAACTCAGGAGCTTGAAATCTGAGCCATGATTACGTCTCAATTTTTTCCAACGGCCGAATTGCATTCGAATCTGTCGGAGTTCTATTTCATTAGTCTAACGACTATGTGAACTCCCCGTGAATCGAACAAGCCCAAGGATCGTTGCATGATCGTCGGGTTAATCTGCTCCATCAGTTCAGAAGCGGCACCATCCTCCACGAACGCAAACACTCTGCTTGGAAGCACCTCTCAGCCGCTCGTCTCCAGACCATGGGCGATTTTAGATACTCGGCCGTCAGACCAGTTCAGCAAGTGGTTACGACAATCATCGGGGTTTCCGGTCATATTGTACACCTTCAGGATCGCCAACTCAGGACACCAACGTCGGTTCTTCGAGACCCAGGTGTAATGCGAGAGGATCTACCCAGTCCTGGCAAGATTGCACATCGCTTCCTTACGCATCTGCTCCAAGTCCATATGCTCAGCCCTCCCGGACTGGACAGGATTATGCCACCATGACGCGCAAATAAATCCATCGACTAAATCATACTAAAGGTACAGTCCGTCCAGTTTTTATTTAGTTCATTCTGCCATCTTTCCATAGCCCAAGGCTCCGCTGCACAGTTCTTGTCAAATGAGTACACAGCAAAGCTCAGTAAGCGCGGAAGATCTAATGGAAGGCTCGATCATCAGAAGTCTCTGTCCAAACCCTTGGCCGGCACGAGATGTGGCTGATCAATCATGAGATGACGACCTGTCAGCCAGCCACCAACTTCAGCTGTCTTACTACTTAACACTTAGTCACAAGACAGGATACTCATGACAAAACATCTGGTCCATCCTTCATTGACGTTGATACAAGCCCGGGGTATCCAAAACAATCGTCAATCGCCTCCATGGTCAACGCACATAGTGGATCCATACTCCACCCAATTAGACTGTCTTTATCTGTTGTTCCTACCGGCGAGGAAATCCTGCTTTCTTGGTCGTATGGTCATAGTTTCATCAGAGTTTGTTCTAACATCTATGTCTCAGAAGCTCGAACCTTTTGACCACATTTGGGTCTAGTTCCCGTGCTCCAGAAGAACCATTCGGTACACACGTCCCATATCAGAACCAACTGTAAGTTGGACCAGGAGACTGCAGATTTATCCATGTACTCATCATAATCAGTCGTATGATATCGCCTCAGCACGTCGTCAGGGATATTCTCTCACCTCAAAGCTCACTTTCTCCGACACCATCTTCACCAACCAGCCCACCACATGCTAATCGACGTCGGCGCCACAAATCCGACCCACCATCTAATAGAACTGATCCAATTATTGGTCAAGTAACCCTGGCAGGGAAGTTCAAGTGTCTTAAGGAAACCTGTCTCAATAATGGGGAAGACATGACATTCAACCGACATGCTGACTTCAAACGTCACTATGACAACACGCATGCAGGTCGCTGTGTTGAATACTTCTGTCAAGAGCCTGGGTGTCCACGCTCAAGGAATCCAGAAGGGGGCAAGAAGGGACGAGGTTTCAAAGGGAGGAAGGACAAACGAAATGAGCACTATAAAGCAGTGCATCAAAAAGAGAGTAACAAGCGAAAACAGGTCTATGAGAGTGATGAATATGCTGAAGGAAGGGGTCATGAGGACAACACAGGAGCCAGATCATTGAAGGTAAGGCGAAGGAGCGACACATCGTAAAGTTGTATTACCAGTCATCTATACCTCGTTTTGATTGATTTTGATGGCTGCACCTTCTGACACCGCTTGTTGAAGTATTGTGAAGGGGTTTAGTGTCTGGGATTGTACTACTGTTGTTTTGTATCTGGGCTCATGGCTTGGTTTGCTTGATTTCCTTTACTTTGATTCTGATTGCCACATCCAAGCGGCATCTCGAAGGTTGGCAGTGTCTTATATGTTTTGAAATCAACTCAACAACTAAAGAATTACATTAGGTAAAGCAGTCCAAATATACTGGTTTAGAGTCCTTTGTTCGCTTCCATCATCTGCTGAGTGTGCTGTTCCAATTTATCCGCAAGCTCTACGTCTTTTGCTGGACCACTCTCCCACCATGGTTCGCCAAAGCGGTTAAAGATGTCTAGATACGCACCACTCTGATCCGCTTTCATGTCTTCACTTGCAGCGCAGAACAAGCTGTTGTACGAGCCTTTGTCTGCCGACCAAAACATGCCAGTCATCCGTAAGACAGATATAAAACTAGTCATAAAGAAGCCTGCCTTATCCACTCCGTCTGCGATATTTGTTTCTACCAGGCCTGGATGTACACAAGACGTCCAGATTTCACCATCGTTGTTGTGGGCACTGGGGGAACCTGCACCGTACGCCTTATGCAGGTACTTAGTGTGCAGGATATTGGCGAGCTTGCTTTGCCCATAACGGATCATCGGAGTAGCATCCTTCAGTGTCAGGTCTTCGAAGTTGATGCCACCATTTGGGGCGCTCAAGTGCCCTGATGAGGTGATGTTGACGATGCGCACGCTTCCGGGGGGCAGAGTCTTGGAGGTGTCCAACATCATCTGCTTGAGGTGGTGTGTGAACACCCAGTGCGCCAGATAGTTTGTCTGCCATTGCGCCTCGTAGCCGTCTTTTGTGAGCTCGAATGGTGTCGCCATGATGCCTGCATTGTTGACAAGACCGTGCAGCGCTGTCTCGAGTGTGAGAAAGCGTTGCGCTGCCGCAACAACGCTCTTAAGATCCTTAAGGTCCATTTGTAGAAGGTCGACATGAGCTGCGGGATGCATCTTCTTGATTTCGCTTATGGCTTCTGTACCCTTTTTCGAGTTCCGAGCACACATGTACACATGCGCGCCATGTTCTGCCAGATGTGCGACGGTATAGTAGCCACTGTTTTTAAGCGGATTAGACAAACGCGATTGTCGCGACATCCACGGGGGAGACTTACATGCCTGAGTTTCCTCCTGTCACGATGAAGACTTTGCCTTTGAGATTTGGTAGGGATTTAGGGTGGAACGTCATGTTCGAGAAGATGTTGAATGAAAGACTGTGTTGACGGAGAATATGAGTCTTAAATGCTATAAAGTTAGACACGGCAAGGAGTTTGTCCTATGTCCTATGTACGGCCGTAGCCGTAGAAGCATTGCCCGTATGATGAAGATGTTGATGCAGGGCGTATGCCAACAAGGCGCAGCTGCAACGAGCGGACGAATCGGCCGGAAACCCCAGGACTTCTTCCTCAGCGACGCCATATACATGTGACATACATGCACGAAAATCGCTACGGACGAGTGAAGCGCGTAGGAGCCGAGCGGCATCGCGTAGCTGCATGTCAGCGCACACGATAGCATCTTATCGTCTCAAGACACAGCCCGTCAGGTAGCAGTTAGACCTAAACGCCGCATATACCTCTCCTCGAGCGGCGCAACTTCAACAAGGATGTATAGAAGGAAGGCAAAACTTCTACTTAGCATATTCTTAATCTTTCGTTCTTGAGTCAAGATCTGGGATATCTACGTAGACACATAAGGGTGGCCCCGGATTGTTGTTCTGAGAGCCAAGCTTTGCGCGACGACCAACTTTCGGGGGTGATCCCCAGATGTGTCCCGCTTCCATTGCCAAGGACCTTAGATTGAAGGCAACCCCTCATCATCCGCTAGCACTACCACAGTCGGCGGTGTTCCAAACATCGTGTACTGCACAATGCCAACGGCTTCCTACCATCACCAATTGTACTCATACTATGACCTTTCGCACTCGCCATCCGAGTAAATCCGAGTGCATCCCTACCTACACATCGTTGACGATGAACTGCATGCCTTGGAAACAAGCCATTTGGTTTCCAAAAAGGTGTGAGCCAGAACTGATTCGACGAGCTGAGGGCAGAATCAGCCCCGACATATGCCGGATCCCACGCAATGTACCAGCAAAGCGACTATAAAAGAAGGGGAAACTTTTTCGGCCGCCCCTAAACGCTACTCGGCCGCCCCCAAAAGATCAGATGAGATGAAAGGAAACTAGACGAGATGGAAGGTTTCTAAGCCACTAAAACGTAGTGAGAATATTAAAATATTATCGCCTAATTAGGCAAGTTCTTAGTAAAGGATTGCTTCTATCTAATCTTTCTAGGTAGCGGATTGCTTCCATCTCATCTGATCTTTTGGGGGCGGCCAAATAGCGTTTAGAGGCGGCCGAAAAAGTTTTCCCTAAAAGAAAGTTCTTTCGGTGACTTTTGAATCTCAAGGACAAGGCAGGATCACGTCATCGATGGTAAACCAGACCTTGAGAAATGGAGCGCCACTGAAATCGTAAAAGAGGTGAAAATAACAGGCTGCGAAGGTCGGTTCAAGGTGAGCAACAAGCTAATTCTAGATCCCAACCAGCCATCCTTCCATTGGCCAATCGATTGTATCCACCTACAGTGACAAGCATCCAATCCCTACCCTATTCTAACCTCTTCTATTCCGCCCCGTTTACGAATTGTGTGACTTGCGGGCAGGAATTGATTGCGGCAAATGCGCTTCTACAAGATCACAGTCCGCTCACGGTTCTCGCCGCTCATCCTCAGGAGCTTGCGCCATACAAACCAACTACAGCGCCAATCTGAACTATCGAGGTCTTGATGATCTTTCAATAGGGTCAGGTAGCTTGTGTTTGTGTGTTATGCATCGTACGCGCCGTCGGTGGGGTACGTTCTCCCCAGCATCGCAATCGGCCCATGTTGGTGGGCGCTGACCGTACTCTCCCCTTCAATCTCTGTCTCGCCTTGCCTTGCTGTGTTTACTTCTTCCTCGTTTTGTATGAAGGAGCTATGGCGAAGCGACTGCCGTTCATAGGGAGAGCTTTCTGTAGCCTCGTTATTGGAACATTTGCGCAGAAGCGGAAGATATTTGAAGGTGTTTCTGCAAATGCTACTTATGATTATGTTGGTATGCTAGTCACATTCTACAACTTCTCACTATGTTGCTCAACGATCACTAGCTAACAAACGCAAAATTTTGCAGTTGTCGGTGGCGGTACGGCTGGCCTGGTGATAGCTTCTCGCCTGTCCGAATTTGCATCAGTAGCCGTTCTGGAAGCTGGTGGCCGATATGAGCAGGACAATGGTAATCAATCTGTGGTTCCATATTATGGCCTCGTCATGCCTGTGCTTGGCACAAACGAAGCATATCCTCCCCAGTCGCTCATAGACTGGGACTCGTTGTCGACTGCGCAATCCGCCGCTGGTAATCGTCGCATACACTGTGCACAGGGCAAAACGCTTGGAGGAAGTTCGGCGATCAACACAATGGCTTATCATAGGGGCACCGCTGGTTCATACCAGCGCTGGGCAAATTTGGTAGGTGACCAAAGTTATACACACGACAAGGTCTTGCCGTACTTCGAGAAGTCTGCCACTGTCACACCCCCTGACCTCGCAAAACGTAATGCGCCGAATGTGACTGTGCGATACAACGACTCAGTAGTCGACAACGCTCTTCAAGGCGCTCTTCAAGTATCGTGGACTAATAGGGTTGATCCAGCCTAGAGTTGGCTCGTAAGAGCATTGCAAGCAGTCGGGCAGAAGCTGAGGGCTGATGGTTTCAGCAGCGGTAGCTTGAACGGTGGAGCTTGGGTGCCCACGACCCTCGACCCAAAACATGTGACAAAGGGTACTTCTAAAAGCAGCTATCTTGACGAAAAGGAAGTCAAAAGTATATTGCAACTGACCATTTATCTGCATTCCCAAGCCAGCAGAGTGACATTTGACAAGGACAAGAACGCCATCGGTGTCGCACTGCTATCAGAAAGAGACGAGTACGTGATATTAGCAAGGAAAGAGGCTGTTCTTCCGGCTGGTGTGTTTCACTCTCCGCAGCTCCTTATGCTATCCGGTGAGAGAAACTCTATGACCTTTCGATTGTTTATGTGCTGATTAGTGCAGGTGTTGGTTTTGCAGCAACTCTCTCAGAACACGCTATACCGGTCGTAGCCGATCTCCCCGGTGTAGGCCAGAATCTTTGCGATCAGATCTTCTTCAGTGTGCTTCGCAGTATCACCGTCCCAAGTACGGGAGCATACCTCAGTACGGCCATCCGACAGGCAATAGCTCTCCGGAAGTATTCATCAAATGTTTCGGGTCCATACAGCTCGGCTGGTGGTTATCTCTCTTTTGAGAAATTACCGCTGGACTATCGTGCGAACTTTTGGTCTCGAACGGAGGCAGCCCTATCAGGGTTTCCGCCTGATTGGCGAGAGACAGAATATATCGCGTCAGGCTTCCCTAGCGGGGATCCCGACTTCTCCGCCATCGACGCGATCAGCGACACACCTCTTACACCATGCTCGCGAGGTAATGTCTCGATTCGTAGCGCATCGATTGTGGATCAATCCATCATCGACTTGGGCTGGCTTAATGATCCAGCAGATGAAGAAGTCATGGTCGCTGCATTGAAGCGAGTGAGGGAAGCTTGGGACAGTCCTGCACTTGTTGGGATAATTGCCGGTCCAGAGATCGCGCCCGGTCTTAACATCACTACAACTGCGGACATCTTGAACTTCATCGAGCAATACGCTCAACCCATATGGCATGCAAGCTCTACATGCTCGAGTGGTAAGACACCAGGAAGAGGAGCTGTGGTGGATACCCAGGCAAATGTGCTCGGTGTACAACGGCTAAGAGTAGCTCATATCTCCATTTTTTTTTGAGTCTGCCTGAGCATTGGCAGGCTTCAGTATACATGTTTGCGGAGAAGATAGCAGACGAGATCTCAACAACAAGAGAAGGTTACTAAGCTGATAATACCAGGTCTAGGCTTGGTCAGCGCAAGGGCAGCACTGTTGCTTCGCAGGTCAAACACGATCTGGGTGCGTTGGAGCGAGTCTTGAACGTTTTGATCACGGTTGCTAATGCCATTCGGATAGTAGTCGGCCGATACTATCGTATAGCTTTCCGATCAGCGATATGATCGTCTCTTTGTAAAGTGTAAGCCAAGCAACAAAAGTTCCCTCGACTCGCATCGGTATTGAATTACTCCACCTATGGCATGCAGACCTTTTTATGCCAGTGGACTTCCATCCATCGATTAACTGTGTTGATGACAGTATGCAGTGGATAAAGCTTGATGATCGCTACGGCGGCTGATGTTGACTTACGCCGGTAAATTGGCTGTACACCGGACGGCTAAACTCCCAGAAATCAATTTGAACAGCATTCTGATTAAACAGCAGCACTATCTGCTGGAAACGCGATCACAGTAGGAGTTCCGTGTATATTACGCCACCAATCGTAAAGCACAGTCTACGGATGCAAAGCTCGGTTGATTGCGTTCATGCACGATTGTGACCTGCGCATAAGTACTGCACGAAGTATGAGAGCACTCGCATTGTCGTGCAATGAAATCTTGCATCATGAGGCAGTACTTGTTTTTCCTTTCTATCCCAACTCTTGTAGTTGGCCATGGCTTCGTGCAGAATGCAACAATCGGAGGGAAGGAGTATGATGTATGTAGCTGGATGTGTCACAAAGGGGAGCTATTGCCACTAACATCAACTTCAGTTCTATCACGTAATCAGTCCGCCATCCTAGAGAAGACATCATAGTCGCTGACCGATATCCAAAGCCTTATCAGGATCCTTACATGAACCCTGCTGTCGGTCTTTCTTGACATCATGAGTAAACAACCTGCTGATGATGAACAGCCACCTCGCATCTCTCGCGAGATCCAAGGCAACTTCCCTATCGAAAATGTGAAGCTCATAGACCTTGAATGTGGTGGCAATACGACTGGCGGAGTTGTCGGATCACGCCCCGCTCCTTTGCACGCTCCCGCGGCAGCTGGGTCGACTGTTAATCTACGCTGGACAGCGTGGCCAGAGAGTCATCAGGGTCCGGTGATAACGTACATGGCGAGATGCCCTGACACTGGTGAGCATGTCTTGTCGATCGACGACGCAAAGAGCGACTTACACTGACGGTTACTCAAGGCTGCAACGACTACGTTCCCTCTTCTTCTTTGGCCCCAACTTGGTTCAAGATCGCCGAGGATGGCTTGCATTCCACCGACCCAGATTGGCTTAAGAACCAATGGGGTATGACATCGCTCATCAACGCACCAAATGCCGGTGTCAACTACACGATTCCAGCATGCCTGAGGCCAGGCTTCTACCTTGTGCGTCATGAAATCATTGCGCTGCACAGCGCGTATAGCGAAGGGGGAGCGCAGTTCTATCCAGGATGTCACCAGCTAGAGGTTACTGGCGATGGCGCGACAGTGCCGACAGCGGACCTGGTAAGCTTCCCAGGCGCATATGACAGTAAGGATGCTGGTCTCGTATACAGCATCTACAACCAACTGCCGTACGATATTCCAGGACCTAAAGTGTTCGAGTGCGCAGCAGAGCTGAGGTAGAACTACGATAAAGATTTGTCTAGCAATCAGTTGAGCGATACGAGGTATGAGGAGGATTGCTCCTACATTCGATCTCTCCATCTGGACAGTAGTGGTAGATATGCCTGTTGTCTGACCTTCTACCAGACATCAGTGTCGGTGAATAGAATCTCACTCTCTATGTTACATGCCGTCAGAACTCTAAGCCCGTAATTGATGTAAGAGAAATCACGTTATAGTCGATCTTTATTCGCTACGTAGACTTCCCACCCGTGCCTACGCTAGCAGATCACCTACACTCTGCCCATATCCATCATCCTGCAACCGCAAGTCCTCTGTCTATCCAGCTCAAACCTTCCTCTGTCACACCAACCTTCCAATATCGACCACCTCCCGCACGGTGACCCTCGCCCCCCTCACCTCCTCATCGCCCAAAAGATTCTCGTACACATTTGCAAACTCCTATGCGCACGTAACCCCATGCTTCTCCGCCTGCTCATCTACCTCGACCCGAAAGCAAAGATACACTTCGTTGAACCGTACATTCGTCTTCTCGTTTTCGCGGGCTGCGGCCGTGCTCATGGTAAACAGGGCGCCTTGCGTCATGCCTGGTACTGGAAAGAAAGCGGTTTCGCCCTGCGCGCCATTACAGAGAGTCCACGTGCTGGTGGGATGCTTCTGAGCAAGGAGATAGGGAATAGTGGCGCGGTAGGCGACTGCAAGTGATTGCTAAACAGAGGTCCACCATTCCTCTTGTCATTGGGAGGACTGCGGCTTACAGAAATTCATCTCAAAGGCAATGTTGAAGTTGTAGCGTAGTTGTTCCGTCGTGATTTCCGTAAGGGGAGTGGAAACGTATTCGCCGCCGACTGAAAGGGGAGAGGGATTGATTAGTGGACATGTAAGGATGGAAATGAGTCGATCGAGACTGACCGCAAGAGTACACGTGCTGGAAGGCTGGTAGTTGCCCTTCTCGCACCTTTTCGACGACTCTTTGAACACCCATGTCGGACGAGATGTCGGTTTCTGCGAAGGTGATTCCCTGCGATGATCCGACATGTCTGATGAGCTTGTCGGCGGAAGCTTGGTTTCGGACAATAGCTAGAACGTTGCGTTTGAGTTGAGAGCGCCTTTCACGGCTGCTACGCCGATGTTGCCTGTGCTTTCAACTACCAGGACGGGTTCGGTATCCGATGATGACATGGTAGGCTATCTTGAAGCGGTTCTGAACAGCTGAAGATTGTCAAAGTAGGTACGGAAATGATTAATGTTGACGAACACTGTGCGTATCAGGATGATTTATTTTACTTTGCGCGGTGTTAACACTGACCAGATATTGTATCTGCCATGCTGCTTCTACTTGCCGGACTTAGCGTGTCGTGACCAATCCTTTCGCGGTCTTGTCGTGTCTTGGCTATCTACAAGAGCGAGCTTACAAACACAGCGCCGAAGGATCGAGCGAAGGTAGACTTCGACCTACACAGTTACCCCAACAGTTAGGGAAATGCTTAGGACTACTTATATTAGAATTAGCATCTATAGTATATATACTTGTACACTAGAAAATAAATATTAAGTATATTATTTATAAAGGTACGCTTAAAAGCTTAGTATATAGTTCTACTTAAAAATTAAAGCTTAAGTACTACTAATCTCTTTTAATAAGGATAATAATAAGAAAAGTACTAAGTAGAATACTTAACTCTAAGCGACTAAAGCTTAGACCTTTAATATTAGATTTTCTATATCTAGATACTACTATATTATAGTATTATAAAGATATTACTATTAACTTTATAATAAGAATCTACTTTATTTTCTTTTAGATTAATATACCTAAAAAAAAAACTTAGTATATAAGTTTAAAAATAATTTAGATTTCTTTACTATTTACTTCTTTTATAGTTACTTATATATCTCTTTTTTGAGCTATATAAATTAGCGTAAAATTAGCTAGTTTATTATAGCTATCTAACAGAAAAGTAATAGAATAATAAGAAAGGAGATAATTAAAAATATTAGAGAAAAATATTTATAAGTATAAAAAAAGTATATAAGAAATTTTATAAAAGTTAAAAGATATATATAATAAGAGCTATCTTAAAATATTTTATTAAGTTTTTCTAACTAGTCTTTATTTAAGTAGTAAAGTTATTATAATAAAATATAATATTATAAAGAATAGTTTATATATTAGTATAAGTAAGCTAATTAAAGAGTTTCTTAGTATATTAAGAAAAGCTACTTAAGTAGTATTTAGTTCTAGCTAAGCTTAGTATACTAAATAGTAATAATAAATAGCTTAAAGAAAGCTTACTTAAAGAAGTTAAGAATAACTTAATAAGACAAATATTAGTAGATTTTATAAATAATCTCTTTTATTTAATATATAATAGCGTTATACTAATTTCTAGTAGATATATTTAAAAGATTTACTAAGTATATCTAATATAATATATATATATAAATATATATATATATATTCTTTCTATTAAGAGACTAAATACTAATACTCTTAAAATATAGTTCTATTCTATAGAGATTCTATTATACATCAGCTAAGTTAAGTACTCTATACTCTACTTATATCTTATAATAGACTAAGACTATAAAAATATCTTTATTTACTCTTTTAGAATAATGTAAGTATAGTAATTAAAACTTAGGCTCTATATTATATTTCTTATATTTATTTATAGCGTAAGTCTAATAATTAAGAAATACTATTAGAGTATAAAGTATAAATACCTAAAATAATATTAGCCTACTTTAATTAGCTATATATTATTAATTCCTTCTATTTATCTTACTTAACCTAATACTATATTACGTAAAGAACTTAAGATAGTAATTAAACTCTTCTATAGTTAGGTATCTAGGAGTCTTAATATTTATAATATATTATTAGTTATAGTTATAGCTATCTAGAAAGAGATTATAAGAGATTATAAAGTAAATTTAAGAAAATCTACTAAATAAAAGATCTTACTAAACTATAGTATAATAATATTATTATTACTAACTTAGATTAGAGAGATAAACTATAGTATCTAAAAGAAGCTTAAGAACCTATATAATATAGGACTTAATAAGCTAATACTTAAGTAAATAGAGAATACTTATATATTTAGAGTTTATAATAGTAGATATTATAATTAGATCTATGTATAATCTATTAGCTTTATCTAGTGATATTTATAGTTATTATTTATTATACTTACTATTACAGCTCTATTACTATTAATTTCTTTGTAGGAGAATAATAACAATACTAAGCATAGCGTTTAGAGCTTAGGCCTATTATATTACACTATTTAAATTATATACAACACTATATTACTTTATTACTAATATAGCTATAGCTATATCTATATTAATATTATAAGTACTAGCTATCTCTTCTGCCTAATAAGCCCTACTAGATAACTTAACTATACTAATATCTATTAATACTTTTCTATCTTTCTGTCTCTATTTATCTACTATCTACTTAGTTATATCTAACTTATCTATATAAGCTATTCTTAAAGCTTTTTTAATCTATATATACGCGCGTAATTAGTTAACTTAATTAGTTTATTTAAGAGAAGAATAAGAGTAAAGATAAAAAGCGCTTATAATAGTAAAGCTTTATTTATAAGTAATTAATAAAATTCTTAACTTACTTCTATAGGTTTATAAAAGCCTAAAACTAGGTACTATTAATCTTAGCTATATAGGCGTCTATAAGATACGCTATCTTTTATAGCTATAAGTTGTTAGCCTACAACTTTATTATATAGAGACGTAATAAATCTTTCTATAGAATATAACTATCTACTATCTCTTTAAGTAATAAACTATAGCCTTCTTTATTAGACTTAGCTTATAGTAAACTATAAGTAAGCTTATAATAAGTAATACTAGTAGTAATTACTAGCAGCGCGTTTCTCTATAGCTTTAGAATTAGATTAATATAAACTTAAAAAGTAGTCTATATCCTATTCTTTATAAACTAGTAGTAAGTTTCTAGTACTATATTATAGATAGCGTCTTTATAGAACTTACTATAGAAAGTAGTTTACTTAAAAAGCTTAACTTAGAAGTAGATAGAAGAGATAGTTATAAGTATATTTATAGATATATTTACAGATATATTTATAGACATATTTATAGACATAATTATAGATATAGTTATAATATTTAGAGTTATATTACTAGAGGAATAAGTAAGTTATATACTTTTAAGAGTCTACTTATTAACTTTTATATTATAAGGTCTTCTAAGGTCTCTCTAAGTGCTATAGTCTATCTTTTTAATATAATCTAATAATAATAATATTATAACTATAAACTAATAAGCTCTTTCTTCTTAAAGCTAAGAGTTACTCAAAGGCCTTCTAAAGTCCTTTTCTAGATAGCTATAATAGTAACTAATAATAGGTTAAGAAATATAAAGACTCTCTACTACTTAACTATAGAATTACGTAAATATTATTTTTAAACTACCTAGTTCTATAGTATTAGCCTAAATAAGATAGGCAACTAAACTATACGTAATATAGCTAATTAGAGTAGGTTAATAGTTTTTTTTAGGTATTTCTTACTATATACTAAAATAACGTTTTATAATTATAATATCTACGCTACTAATAGATTTAAAAGATATAATATAGAGCTTAAGTTTAAATAGCTGTAACTATATTCTACTAGAAGAAAAAAAACACTTTATAGTATTAATTTATTATAGCTTATAAGTATATAGTAGATTACTTAATACAGCTAAGATTATAGAGTTATAACAGGATAGCAGTATACTTACAAAAGTAGAAGCTTTTAGACGCTAAATAAAAAAAAAATTAGTTATTATACTTAGGTCTACTTTTTTAGAAACTGCTATTATCTTAAGTAATTTCTACTCTGATACTAGATCTAATATAGTAATAATACTTTACTAATACTTTATATACTAAGAAATATAGGATACTAAGAAAATACTTTATATCTATATTTACTATACTCTAGATATAAGAAAGAAAAGCTTAATACTTATAATTCTATTAAAACTCTTAGCCTATAAGCTTCTTTATTATTACTGCTAGCTATAGCTATAAAACAATTATATCTTATTAGATACTAAGTAGTATAAATATAGTAGTGTACTAAAAAAGTTACTAAGCTATTATTTTATAGAGTTTAATACTTATTATTAATACTTATAAAAGATTTAATCTCCTAAAAATACTATCTAAATTTTTGCAGCGTCTAGAGGGTTCTACCTTGATAAGCATACTATAATTTTATTTTTATTAAATAATATATTAGCTATAAAAGGTACTTCCATCTATACTTATAGTCTATTAGAGACTAATACTATAATATAGTTTTATTTTCTTTGTTAGTAGAAAGTAGTTATAGTAGTTTAAACCTAAGCCTTATATTTTATCTTTAAGATCTTATAGTACTATATTATATTAGAAATTACTAGCGCGTTATAATTATACGTAAACTAGTAGCTATAACTTTATTTATAGTATTATATAGATATTAGCCTCTTAGAAAAAGTATTAACTAACTCTTATTAGCTATATAAAATTACTTCTATAGCTAAGAATAATAGCTTATAATTTTAGTATTCTATATTTATATAGAAATGATCTTAGTACGTCTTTTATAATCTATACTAAAGCTACTCTACTATTATAAGTTTTTTCTAGATTTGCGTTTATAATCTTTATAATTAAGTAACTAATTAAATTAGCTAACTAGTTACGTGCGTATGTTGCTTAAAAAGGCCTTATAAATATAGGTAAGTTAAATCTAATTAATTAATAGTTAAAAAAAAAGATATAGATATAAAAATAAAAGTAGTTATAAGCTAGTATAGTTAAGTTAAAGAGTAGAAGAGATAGCTGTGCTACTAATAATATAAATCTAGATATATTAGTAATTAAGTAATATTATATTATATATAATTCTAATAGTAGTCCCCCCTAGGCCTTAGGGACAGAGCTTATAGTGTTTCTATATTACGTGTTATCGCGTTATCGCGTTATCGCGTTATCGCATAATATTATAGT